AAGGTATTTTCATATCTGCTAGTTCTTTTGTTCTCAAGACTTCTTTTTTTGTTGGATATGGAGTCTTGCTCTGTCTTGCCCAGGCTGGAGTGCAGTGGCGCCATCTCAGCTTACTGTGGCCTCCACGTCCTGGGTTCAAACAATTCTCCTGTCTCAGCCTCCTGAGTAGCTGGGACTACAGGCACGAGCCACTGCACCTGGCTAATTTTGTATTTTTAGTAGAGACAGGGTTTCACCATGTTGGCCAGGCAGGTCTTGAACTCCTGACCTCAGGTGATCCACCCATTTTGGCTTCCCAAAGTGCTGGGATTACAGGTGTGATCCACTGCACCTGGCCTGTTCTAAAGACTTCTATAAGCAAAATATCTTGATTTTTCAGGCGAGGAAATTGACAACCAGAAAAATTAATTTGTTCAAGGTCTCCTAAGTAGCAAGTGTCTCGATTCAAACCCAAATGTCCTGATTTGAAGTTCAGTGCTCAGTAGAAACTGAATTCTCTCCTTTGGAAAACGGCTTATTAGACACACCATGAAGACGTCACAGAGACCTGAACTCTAAGAAAAGAGTGAGGTGGGATAGGGAGAAAGTATCAGAAAGGATTAAAAAAAATGGGTAAGTTAGGGGATTGGGTGGAATGTAGACACCAAAAAAGCAGAAAAGAAGTTAAAGGTTTATATGTCAAATAAATATAATCAACTATTCCAGCTACCTTCTTGATGGCAAGGTCAGGCATAACCATGTATGATGCCATCTCAGATGCCACATAGGAGCCACAGGTAAGATCTCTACTAGTTGAGGCAGCAATCTTCCAAGATATTCTGAAGCTGTAACTTCAGTCCTTGCTGAAGAAGCAAAGCTCCCGTTAAAGAAGAAAAAAGCCCCAGACTCTTTTCTCCGTTTGATGATAACACAACTCACAAGCCTCAGCTTTAAAACTTGTCACTCTGTTCTTACACGGTTAACAGCAAAACGTTACTTGTTAAGCAAAAAAAAATTGAATATTACTCTTTTCAAACTGAGGACTGGTATTTGAGTCACCTAATGAGTATGCAGGCTGTTTATTCCTTAGGTCTGCCACATGCTCTTCTTGTTTCAAGTAAGTGTATCAGAAAATACACCTTAACTACATCTTAATGTTCTACAAACATGTCTTTGACGAAATAAGTTTTATTATTAAGTATTATAAAAGGTCAAACGAAGTATCCATTTGAACAATGCTTCTAAGAAAACCTAAATAAATATAAAGAGATACCATGTTTATGGATAGGGCGGCTTCATATCTTAAAACCTCTAATCTTCTTCAAACTTATTAATAAATCCATTGATTCTCCAAAACCAAAAAAACAAACCCCAGGAAAAATGCCAGATGATCATTCTTTAAATAGACTGAATCAAATGACTACAAAAAGCTAGAATTTAACACATTGATGTTTTAAACAAAAGGTAACTCCAAAAACAAAAGAGGTCAGAAAGCAAGAAAAACTTTAGATTAAAAATGTGATGGCTGGGCTTGGTGGCTCACACCTGTAATCTCAGTACTTTGGGAGGGCGAGGCAGGTAGATCTCAAGGTCAGGAGTTCAAGACCAGCCTGGACAATATGGTGAAATCCTGTCTCTATTAAAAACACAAAAATTAGCTGGGTGTGGTGGCACGGGCCTGTAGTCCCAGCTGCTCGAGAGGCTGGGGCAGGAGAATTGCTTGAAATCCAGGAGGCGAAGGTTGCAGTGAGCCGAGATCGCACCACCGCGCTACAGCCTGGGCCACAGAGCGAGATTCCGTTTAAAAAAAAAAAGTGATCATTTCAAACAAAATAAGATCAAAAACTGACATTTCTCAGAACACAGAGCAAAAAGACAAAATCTGATAGAAAAGTTCAGAGATTGAAAGAACCAATATAGTTTGAAAGCTTGAAAGTCTGACAATCTGGCATGCAAGAGGAAGGGAGCAGAGAAAAAGGAAGGAAAAAAGTTATTGTTAAAGCAATATAAAATAGCATTTTCCAGAGTTGAAAAAAAAAAAAAAACATAAGCCTTCAGAATACAAGCCTACCGTACCCGGCATAAAAAATGAACGAAGATCCACACTAAGACTCAAATATCACCATGAAATTTTAGAATACCGTAGGTGAAGAAAAACTCTTATGAGTTCCCAAAAAGGAATGAAAATCAGATTGGCACTGCACATCCATTTAGCCATACCATCTATCAGAAAACAACGCTGCAAGCCCTTCGAAGATCTAAGAGGAAATGATTTTTGATTCAGAATTATATAGTCCAACAAAGTATCAAGTGACAGAGCAATAAAATACATTTTCTACATTTGCAGATGCATAAAATTTAATTCCTCTATATTCTGGCATAAAAAGTTACCGGAGGGTATTTCCTAGGAAAACAAAGGGGCAAGTCAAGAATAAAAACAGCATGGAACCCAGGAAAAAGATCCACTGCAGAAGAGCAGTGAAAGAAAGCTTCAACATGACAGTTCTTTATCAGGCCTAGAAAACAACTGGGACAGACTGAAACCAAGGAATAAAGGTTTCAGGAGGCAGGTTCAGGATACAGAGGACTCGACAGAAGAGAATGTGTGAATGAGAATTAGTAACATTGAGGATTATTACAAAGGGCAAAAACAGACTGAGAGGGGGGAAAAGACTGAAAAAGTCATGATTGAAATTTGAAGTGAACTGAACAGTGCAAACATAAAACATGGATGAAGTCTTAGGAAAGAGAAGTCATATGAGGTTGATGTTAAGACTAATCTTGAATTGACCAACAGGTCATGAACATTCAGATAAGTTATCTTACAGCACTACTTGCCCCTGCATCAAAGACGCTTAGTTTATTAAAACATAGTAATGTAAACGCTGTTTTTTGCCTCCACATTTTAGAGCCAACCTATGGACAATAACTGTTTACTGGTACAGGACTTACTGAAAACATTAATACCCTTGACGATGGAAAAGTTAAAACAGTTAACAGATAATACGTACAGGTGACAAAAGTAGAAGGGTGGGTGGGTGTGTGCTAGTGCTAATACCACACATTACAAAGACTTAGAAGGCATGTAGAAAGTTAACAAGCCGAACATCAAAACTTGAATCATTTTCCAGTAAAATATGGCAGCAAACCAAGAAAGAAGACACAGAATCCAGAAAAAAAGATCTAAGAGGAAATTCAATGGATCTAATGCAGAAGTGCAAAGATTGAAAGTTACAAAAGTAGTTTATAGACAAATAATAATTTTAAAATAGCAAACGCTGTGAGAAAAAAGGGGGACAGAGCAGTGAAAGTAGCCTAATACTCTTGCTTAAGAGAAGTTCCAAGTTATATAAAGTTGATAAACTAAAACATAATGAAGACTTTGTACTCTGGCAAGATAATGGCTAAGCTAATGTGAAAACACTTCTGTTACAACAGATATTAAATATAAACCCTTGCGAAATGATAGAAACAGAACAAAAACTGAGCTTATGTGTCTTTTGCAAAACACAGCTGAAGAATGTATTTGTTATATTATGCAAGGTTCCTTATGTAATGACTTATGCAATAAATTATTCAAATTGTCACAGAAAAATAGGAATCCAAAACTTTTTCCCTTGTCTTGTCAGGATGCCCAGCAGAAGCCAAAGCAAAACCACACAAGTGGAAAACTCCTACAACCGGTCTCCAAAGGATTTCCAGAAGAAAAAATCCCACTGAAGATAAGCTCAAAAGAAAAAAGTGACCAAACATGAAGAAGCCATTACCCATAAGCAAGAGCCAGAGGAAACAACAAATAGAAGGATCAGCTCCCCAAGTACAGGAGTTAATAGATAGAACAAAAATGCCATCCAAAAAGACGTTTTTTAAAGTATGATTACAATAAAAAATTCAATGGATAGGTTAAATAGCAATTTCTGACAGAGGTGAAGGGATAATTAGAAGCTTTATGGAGGATCTCAGCAAAGGAGCTGGAAGTGAGCAGAAGAGGGATGAGAGACGACTGCTTGTCATTATACAGTCTATTATTGGAACCGTTGTTTAGTGCATCTATCAATTAGAAACACTTTAAAGTTAGAATGCGTATGTGTTTTACGAAATTTAATTGAACACAGTAATCTATGTCATTTGTGCTCTGTATGTAAGGACGCGTGCAAAAAATTACCTCTTGCATTCATTTACAGGAAAATGGGAATCCAAAGCTTTTCCCCATTTGCCTTAGTGGTGGGAATTCAAGAAGAATTAAAGTGCTCAACAATGTTAGCTCATTCATAAACATATTTTATTCTTCAAGTTAATTTCTATTTTGATTTAATTTTTACTTTGCGCATTTTACATGTTTATTTTTAAAGTCCATTGAAATTCTGAAAGACAGTGGCAGTGAATCTATAAAATTCTTATTACACAGGATGTCAAAAGTTACTGATCTGTTCCTTCCTAAAATGGGATTAATCTTACTTAGGTGTTTATGTTGATTTAAATCTTTTCAGAAGTGTGTACAGTCTCTAAAAGATCTTAAAGGGATATTCATACCTAGGGGTTAGAACCAATTTACCTTTCATAAAATCTCTAACTGCAGAGCTGCTCCAGTTGAGATGAGGTAGAGGCAGGGGAGGGAAACGCGAGCCCCTAGCCCCAGCGGGCTCTCAAGTGCTCCCTGACACGGTGGGAAAACTGCTGCTACAGTGAGTCTCAGTTATCCAGTTAATAAGAAGTCTGATTATTCTCACCAGGAGACTTGGGTCAAAACATTACCATAGAAAATTCATAGGAGGAAATATCAATTTTTAAATTTTTACCTTTATAAACCCACACTTCTCAGGGGAATTCAATGTTGATAAAGGAAATGAGAGAAAAGCTTAGCTAAAACTTAAGATATTGAAATTTCAGTCATAATAGTATTTTTGCTGCTGCTAAATAAGCATAGCCATTAAAAATTAATCTAGTAATAGTTTTAAAAATTACCCTAAATCTCAAAAGTAATTGGATAAAAATCAAGTTATTGAATTTAATTTTCTTACATTGTAGAGACAAGGCAAATGTTAACATCTTGTGTACTGTTGAACTCTTTTACAATCTTGAGTCTTTCCTCTGATTTTGTACTTCCATCAAGTCGTCGGTAATCAAGCCCAGACGCCATACAGTACTGCTGTAGCACATCAAGCAACTAAACGACAGGTATGAAGATGGGCAAACATGAATCTTGGTTAAGTAAGTTTCAGACCATTACAAAGTTGAGACTTGTTAAGTATTAATTATTGGTGTTCATAATTTCTTTCTTACAATTCCAAGAGCAATAAATATTTTTCTCACTTCTGACCCATATATTTATTCCCGTTATCCGGCAACATTACGGCTTTAACATTCAGAACTTGTTTTAAAAATCAATCTTTTCATTTTTTTTTTTTTATACTTTAAGTTCTAGGGTACATGTGAATCTTTTCATGTTTAAGAAACAAACAATATTACTGGTCAAATCATTTACGTAAATATATGTGTGCTATTTTCTAAGTTCTAAAATATCTGAAATGTCTTAAAGAACATTGTAATTATTAAGAACATCAACAGAAAATAAAAATCTATCTTTGAGTTTGATATTTGGCAACCCTAAAACAATTGAAATTTTAGTGTCTGTTTAAAAACTTCAAGTTGCTTGCCTCACTATTTCCTACTGTGTAGATAAGAGAAAATGTGGCTATAAGGTGTCATGTAGGCACGTGCTTTATTCTTTATGCCTCAAAAGTTAGGGCTGGCCAATCAAGGATATACTTTAGATGAAACTCACTTTGGTGGAAAAAGAAAAGAGAAGAACTTTATCTCTGTTTTTCCTGCAATGATTTAAAAGCTGCTGAAGGACCTGAAAACGAACCACAGAAAATCAGTGAACCAGTTCCAACTAAAAGTACACTTTATACATACAAACATCACTTGAGCATTTCTTTAAAATTATTTTCATATAATACTAACCTCAATCATCTTTTCTAATTCCTTTCATTTTTTCCAAGTTAGAGAAATAAAGTATTAGCTATTACATCAAATGTTATTCATCATCATATTGTCAATAAGGAGGTAAAGTTCCCAAAGACTTTTATTTCATCTCATCTGGTTTTAATAAAAAGGAAGCATTTTAGATTATGGGATGCATTTAAATGGATTAATTTAATTTCCAAAATACACTTTCTTTATACCTACAATATGTTAAGAAACTAAATTATAGAGCAGCATTCCTTTTAGGAAGTATTTAAATTGTCCCTAGATGGATGTAATGAAATGTGTTCAATTACATCTAGGTTCTAAAAGTCTTGATATTTATTTTCTTAGAATAATCAGTCAGATATACACCTCTTCTCATTTTCTCCCCTTTGTTTCTCTATTTACAGTAAGCTCTGACTTCCAGATTTGATTTTGACCTCAAAATGCCAGTAATCTGCCCCCACACACAGTGCTTTTAAGGAGGAAGCAAACAGTCCAAAGCCTTGTATATAACAGTCACACTGTTATTTTTATTTCCACATCTGGCAATGACAACTCCAGAACAATGTGCAAAAGCAATCCACAGAGGGGAAAAAGAAATTTTCTATACAAAGTCGAAAATTTTTCTGAAAGATGAAACAAACACTAAAACAATTTATTTAATGATAAACATTTAAGCTTTTAAATTAAAAAAAAATACTCAATATAATTAATCAAGAGAAGCTATTGTGCTAACTTTGACTTCTACCTCCCCCCAGACCCTCAAAAAAAGCTATGGAGTTAAAAAAAACATCTACTCAGATAACCAATCAAATGGTAAATAAAAATGTTATAGATCAGGTAAATATTACTTTAATATTTGGAGAACATATGAAGTTTTATTTGCATTTAGTTTATTTTTTAATAAAACAACTGATTCTATATGAAGTATGTAATTTGAGTTTCACATAATATTAACTTTTTAAATTGGTAGATAATATTTTTTCTGCTTTACAGAACTGAGCAGAAAATGCACAAAGCTCCTCTTTCCCTACTCCCAACCTCCTCCACACCTTCTCTTATTAATATCTGTATTAATAATATTAGAAAATACAACATCAAGTATTATTAGTATTGGTGTGGTATATTTGCAACAACTGATGAGTGAATATTGATACATTATTATTAGCTAAAGTCTACATTTACATTAGGGTTTATTCATTGGGTTACATAGTTCTATGGGTTTGGACAAATATATACTGAGATGTATCTGCCATTACAGTATCGTACAGAATTGTTTCATGGCCCTAAAAATTCCCTGTGCTTCACCTACTCATCCTTTCCTCCCCCAGAACCCATGGCAACCACTGATCTTTTTACTGTCTCCATAATTTTGCCTTTTCATAGTACTATATAGTTGGAACTATACAGTATGCAGCCTATCAGACTGGTTTCTTTCACTCAGCAATACGCATTTAAGGTTCTTCCATGTCTTTTGGTAGCTTGATGGCTCATTTTTTTATTGCTAAATAGTACTCCACAGTATGGCTGTCACAGCTTTTTAAATCCATTGACCTGCTGAAGGACATCTTAGTTGCTTCCAAGCTTTGACAATTATGAATAAACTCATGTGAGGTTCTTGTCTGGATATAAGTTTTTAACTCATTAAAACTCAATGAATTCACTTGAACTCATTTGGGTAAACACCAAGGGGCATAACTGCTGGATTGTATGGTAAGAGTATTTAAGGTAAAATTTTTTAGTTAAGAGCTTTGTGAGAAACCACTGAACTGTCTTCCAAAGTGACTGTATCGTTTTTCCATTCCCACCAGCAGCAGATGGGAGCTCTTGTTACTCCACATCCTCACCAGCATTTGGGCGTGACAACGTTCTGGATTTTGGCCGTTCTATTAGGTATCTAGTGGTATCTCATTGCTGTTTTAATGTGCAATTCTTTAATGACATACGTTGTTGAGCCTCTTTTCATATGCTTATTTGCCATCTCTGTTATCTTCTCTGGGGAAGTACCTGTTCAGATCCTTTGTTCATTTTTAAACTGGATTGTTTGCTTTCCTATTGCTGAGCTTTAAGAGTTATTTGTATATTTGTAAACCACTCCTTTATTGTTCTGCTAAATATTTTCTCCCAGTCTGTGGTTTTTCATTCTCCTTAAGATATTAACATTTTAAATCAAGGATATATTGTATAGAAATCCATTCTTATTGTTTGGGGTGGTATCATAACTATTGCAACTTTAAGTGTTTTCAAATATTTTAAAGTAAAAACAAGTCAGAGGAAAAGTAAATGTTTTTAGACTTGAGGTCTTAATTAGGCTAGTTTAAAGAGACTAACTAAATGAACGACTATAAATTAAGATCCCAGAAATTTCCACAATGACAATGTAATCAATAGATGTTGGAGTCTTAACAATATAAACCCAATGTTTTATCACTCAGCTGTCCTCCACAGAACAAGACAATCCACCTATAAAGGAATCATATATTTGTGGGTGTTAACAGCAAAGAATCTTGGATCTTAACTTTCCTCAACTTGGTCAGTCAGGCCTAGAAAGATGAACATGACCCTTGTGTGACTTCAGCAGCACCAAGCTGCATTCCTAGTCTTTATTCCCACCCTCCACAGTAAGTGGCTCTGCAGCATTTCTCAAGAGAAAGAAAAGTGAAGATTTTCATCAGGTGAATGACTGCAACTTGTGGCTAACCCCTGGAATGATAGCTGAGGTCAAAACTCTGACACTCAAGAGAAACAGCTGGGGTCATGAGTGTAGCTTTGAGGCTATGAAGATTATAGCAGGCATTCTGTTCAGAGTCCTTGCACCTGCAGGCTGACCTATGACAAGCCAAGCCAAACAAAGATCTTCTATCACCTGAAATCAAAAAGTACATGCAACTCAAATCTTGGAGTTCTTAAACCAATAGGGAATGATTCTATGATCAGCCTGTAAGTTTTACATTACCAAATCAATATATGAGCAGATGATGCTGTTAGTCAAATGATTTAACACAGTACTAAAAATATATCCCTAGCTTATTACTATCCATCTGTTTGGTGGATGCTCTCTCACAAAGCAAGTAAATTACCCGCATCATTCACATGTAAAAATACTACCAAGTCTCCAGCAACAATTTATGCTTGCCTTTTCCCTCCTAAAAATTAAAATAAAATTAAATCTAATCATTATCTTAATCAGACACTATTATTCCTAGGGAGATTAACTTTAAAAGTGTATTTTACAAGTATATATTTAATGAATATATAAAAAATATAAAATGCAGAGTTATAAAACTTTAATTTCCAGACTGGTAATTTTTTAGTGAAGAGTCACAGGGAATAAAATTTAAATGAGTAGCAATAATGGCTAATGCAGTTTTCAGAGGAGGCCATAATTTCTGGAAATATCCTATTGGCTTAAACTGTGGGACAGTAAGTGCTCAGTTCTAAACCGGACTTTTTATATATTTTAATTTAAAAATAATTAAAGTCAAAGAGATGGATGACAAAAATTGACTTGCTACCGTAGGAAATATCATTAGATTTGAATTATTTGTTGTGATAATAAATCACATGATATCCTCATTAAGAAAAACATTCATTTTTTTAAAAGTTTTTAATGCAACAGTCTTTATGTACATATGTATATTCCTACCTTCTATTTAATTTCATTGATTTTAGAGGTCCCAAGCAAACTAAACCATGATGAACTTATCTCGATTAATTGCTAAAAGTATTTTTACAATTAAAAAAAACAAAAACTACTTTGAATTACTTCCTTTCTATTCCTTTTATGTCAAAAGAAAGAATTTACCTTTTAAAAATTATAACAAAGTTGAGTTTTGTTCTGTAAAAATCTGTGAATCTACAAATAAAGATTATTGATGGTTATTAAGGGGTTAAACAAACTAACTCTGTTATTGCAAGGAAGCAGGAAGCTGTCAGCATTTCATGCGGCTGCCACAGGCAATGCCCAAGGCCTGGGTCAAGGTTGGAGAACTTAGCCTTACTTCTCCCATCCCTCCCTCAGTAACACATTACCAAGAGCAGCACAGCTACAGGTCAATTTTACTGTGTATGACAAATGACTATTTGCAACTTTACAATCTAGGTCTGCAAATAAAAACAACATGCGGAAAATTCTAGACATACAGACCTTGCCCATCTTGAACTCTTCGAGAAATTCCTTTCTCTAATTCCAAGCTAATGCCTGTCCTCACCCCCGTTTTGCATTAGGTTTTATATTTCTGGCAGGTTATTTCCTTAAACATTTGAAGACAAGCTATTATATACGTGATAACAGCACACGCATTTTAAGAGGACATAAGTCCAATATATCAATAAGGAAAATCTGAAGTATATTTGAAGCAACTACTACAAAGGACCTACCGAGTACACGTATCTGCATTCGGGGTTCACAGTTACCTAGTAAATGCTGATATAACTGCACCACTTGTCGATAGCCACTATCTCTTCTTGAATGACTGAGCACCTGTTTCGATTAGTTGGTGTCTCTGTCATACCACTGAGTAAATATTTTGCGTACCATGTCTGTATGCAACCTGAAAGAAGAGCACTTACCTTCATTTTTCCACTGTATTTAGGGTCAGAAAGTGTTTCAAAGGCTGCATCTTTGCTTTTCTGCACAAAATCTGGGAATCTGGAAAATACCTGATCACATATCCTTTTGATAAGTGTTTCCTTGAAGGGAAAAGGCAGAAGAAAAGATATTTCCACTTAACACATTCAAACCTGTATGAATTGAAATAATTTATGAAAAAAAATTCTTCTTAGAAAGAATATACTACTTTGAAGATTTTTGCTTCCCTAAGTCAGACTAAGAATTCAAAAACTCTTAAAGTAATATGTTAAGCACACATGGCGTTAAATTCTTAATGTTGTGGTTATTAACTTGATCATTACTTTTCAAAGATTTTTTAAGATTTCCAAAACAAGGTGCTAAATACTCCCAAAAAGAGTGAAGAGTACTATCAAAGAACAATATCAAATTCTTATGAGATTTCAAAATTACATTTAAATGGCATCAACTATAACATAGAAAAAAATATAAAATCATTACAAAAACATCTTTTCATTTGTGTGCTCTAGAATAAAAGGAAACAACCACAGTAAATGATTGAGTTTAAACCTAAACTTTGAAATTACCAACTTTTGCCAGTTTAGTAAACAGCCCTAATATTTAATATACAAATTACTATAAATCCTCATTTTACCCAGTAGATTAAATACCATTACAGACATTATTAGAGGAATAGAACTAACTCATCAAATATGTTATTTAGTAATTATACCAAAGAATGTTTTTAAAAATAAAGACACGAACGTTATTAAAGGCATAAAAAATAGTTCTTATTTTAAATTAAGCTTAAATTTGTTCACTTTGATTAAAAACTTAAGTGCACATACTCCTTGATATCGACACTTAAAAATGAGCAAATGAGTTTCCTCCTAAATTTCATCCACAAAAACATTATTTAATAACTATTTTAAAACTTTATGAAATATTTACAACAACAGCATCACAAAGAAATGTAAAATGCCAACCAAACCTGTTGTTTGGAAGTACTAGCAGCTTGCAGTAGCGCGACATGGTTAGCTACCTTCTGAAGGACTGTAAGGTAACTGAGATACAAGGTTTTCACTGTTTCACCATGAGAATTGGTCTGTAACCAGAAAAATATAGAAAATAAAAAGGACCAACATAGCTATGCACCTGCTTACATCATAACATATATCACATACAACAATATTTATTATCTGGTTACTTCGGCACAATGAATTTCAAGAAAATGATGGTCAACTACTGCACAAAATATCCACAAATCACTAATGTGGACTCATACTTTTGGTAAATCATAATACAATGATATTTTTCGTAAAGGGAGAACATCCTTATTACAGAAAGTATCCTCATGACACACAGTGATGGAAATGCTGCCATTAGGAGGTGCCTGGTAATGAAATCTACAGTGCAGTGGCAGTGCTATGTGGACCCCGTCTCGTTTACGCTCCAACGCTCCTAGGAAACTGGGCTGTTACAAAAAAGGGAAGTAGTTGAAAACAGCAAAATATTAAACGAGACCAAATAAATATCAAACTAGATAAATATTCACTTAGGGTTCCTCTTTGTACACAGATATGTGACAGATAATTTAATAAAACAGAGGTGAAACATGAGCAGGAAATATAGACAGAAGGTTAAAAAAAGTACAAATAAATTTTGTTTCTTAAAAAAAAAACACTTTCTTTGATATACAGTTTCTATTAAATTGACACCACATCTAACATAAGAATAGTATTTTAAGCCTGCTATATAATAGTATGTTCGTTTACTATTAGTGGATGAGAAACTTCTCAAAAATGAAATGCAATTTCAAAACGAAAGGATACTTCCCAAAAAAAGCTAAAATGGAGGATATCAAAATTAAGCTTACTTTCTGAAATTTACTTTTTGAAAATATATTTGAATATTGTATTTTATATGTGATTGCTATTTGATATTGTAAAATATTTTTGAAAACTATTTTTTTAAGATACAGCTTTAAAGAACTATCTGAGGAAAAGGTATTTTATTATCTGCTACTTTCTTTTACACTAGAACAGAGTACTATGTAATCAAAAGCATGATTATAAAGATATATTGAAATGCTTGCCTTATAACAACAATTTCTCCTTTTTCGGCCACTCCTACAGGTACAAGGCTCAGAAGATTGAAGTATCAAAGTCACATCCTCTGTTTCTAACACTGTTTGATAGACAGCTTTCTGGAAATCTGTCAAAGAACAATACACCATCTGCCAAGATAAAATACAAGGTGGTTATTAGTATTTTGTTTATAGCAATAATAAAAATCATAATCTACATCTATTTCACAGATTATAACAGTGAAAACTGGCCAGTGCAGAGGCTCACGCCTGCAATCCCAACACTTTGGGAAGCTGAGGAGGGTGGATCATAAGGTCAAGAGATAGAGACCATCCTGGCCAACATAGTGAAACCCCATCTCTACTAAAAGTACAAAAATTAGCTGGGCGTGGTGCCACACGCCTATAATCCCAGCTACTTGGGAGGCTGAGGCAGGAGAATCGCTTGAACCCAGGAGGCAGAGGTTGCAGTGAGCTGAGATCGTGCCACCACACTCCAGCCTGGGCGACACAGCAAGACTCTGTCTCAAAAAAAAAAAAAAAAAAAAAAAAGTGAAAATTGCTATAAACTAACTTTTTCCCTCTACATCATTATGATGATTTCTCTTATATTCTTTGCTCTCCACCCCACCCTGGATAATATAAAGTATAATTTCATTTTCAAATAAACCTCATAGAATTACTTTAATTAAAAGAAATAATAATGTGAACAAATGATGTTCCTTACACAGTTGACTCTTGCACATGGATGTTGCTAGGGTGCTAACTCCCCACACAGTCAAAAGTCCATGTATAACTTCTGACTCCCCAAAAACATAACTACTGATAGCCTACTGTTGACCGGAAGCCTTAACAGCAGCATAAATAGTTGAAAAACACTACTTTGTATTATCTGATACATGTTATATATGTTATATTCTTACAATAAAACTAGAAAAAAAGAAAATGTTATAAAGAAAATGTTACTAAGTAAATCATAAAAAAGCGAAAATGTCTTCGCTGTTCATTAAGTGGAAGCAGGTCACCATAAAGGGCTTCATGTTGAGCAGGCTGAGGAGAACGAGGAAGAGGAGAGGCTGGTCTTGTTTTCTCATGGGTGGCAGAAATGAAGAGGTGAAGGAAGTGAAAAGGAAGTCAAGGGAGGCAGGAGAGGCAGGTACACTCGGTGTAACGTTACAGAAGCATGTTGTAATTTCTGTCTGACATTTTTGCTTTTCATTGCTCTAAAAAATGTTTCTATACGGTGCCAATCCTTCTTCCACCATTTGCTTTAGTTTCAGTGCCCATATCACAGAAGGGTCCATGTCATAAAAGAAGTCAAAAGCAGTCTCAAATAATCAGAACCCCTCTGCCAGATTATTTAGTGTCAGTGTTTCCTGGCACTGCTTTTTCTACGTCTTCTTCTTTCTCATCATCTGGCACTGGTTTGAAAGCACGTATTTGCATCAAGTCATCTTCAATTCCTCTGGTGTGGTATCCTGAATTTCTTTCAATTAGCTCTTGAATTTCTCCAAGATCCGTCGCTTGAAATGCTTCACCTTTTTTGCCTCTCGTGATTTATTTGATCGGCTCTGTCGTAAATCCTGTCAGGTCATGCACAACATCTGGACACGGTTTTCTCCAGCAGGAATTTACTATTCCAGGAATGACGGCTTTCACGGCTTTTTCTATAAGAACGATGGTATCTTCAAATGGTGTAATCGTTCCAGACGCTCATGATGTTCTATCAGGGTTCTCCTCCATAGCACTGACAATCCTTTCCATAGAGGACCAGGTGTAATGAGCCTTGAAGGTCCTTACGACCCTCTCATCTAGAGGCTGAATTAGACATGTTGTGTTTGGGGGGCAAGGGGACCACCTTGGCGCCTTCGGCATGCGGTTCTGGGTGGCCACAAGGATTATCCAGTATCCACAGAACTTTAAAAGGTAGTCCTTTGCTGGCAAGGCACTTCCTGACTTCAGGGACAAAGCATTTTTTATATTTGTAAAATATAAATATATAAATATTTGCAAATATTTATATGCTTATATCACTACAACAGATTATTGGTAATAAATAGGCAAAGGTGCATACAAGCAAATACAGTAATGTCTATATAAAAAATGCTAGTTTTTTTTTTTTTTCGAAATGCCCTGTTTGTTCTGTAAACAGGCTCAGAAATATAGACACAGGCCAGTCGTTGTGGCTCACACCTGTAACCCAAGCACTTTGGGAGGCAGGCAGATCACGAGGTCAGGAGTTCAAGACCAGCCTGGTCAATACAGTGAAACCCTGTCTCTACTACAAATACAAAAATTAACCGGGCATGGTGGTGCACACCTGTAGTCCCAGCTCCTCGGGTGGCTGAGGCAAAATAATCGCTTGAACCCAGGGAAGTGGAGCTTGCAGTGAGCCAATATCATGCCATTGCACTCCAGCCTGGGTGACAGAGTGAGACTCTGTCTTAAAAAAAAAAAAAAAAAAGACACAATTTGTAGGTTGAGAAATCTCTATGTAGTTGTTACTTCACAACTATACTTCACAAAAGCAGGAATGACGATGGTTTCTGAGCATATTAACCTACCATTTTTCTGTTTTTAAAAAACACAATGAGAATGGCTTATTTCTCTAACTGATGGTCACATTTTTCTGCCCTAGTCTTTAAGAACAAGTGGAGCCCTCACTTGAGCCACCACCTCTTTGGCTCTTAGGCCTCAACAATCCCAAGAGTAGACACGAAGGCAGTCCTAAGCCCCCCGACTTGTAAAACTCAGGCCGTCCTTTTCCACACGATTCTCAGAGTAGCTGTGACTTCCATTCATCATTTTGTCTTTGGCAAGTAGGTATGTTTTAACTTTACTTCCAAAACCTATTTCATGAGCCAACAGACCTGCAGGACCCGCATAGATGGTAGCTATGAGGCCCTTCTCGTTTCTTGTTCCTTCAGTATCTCTCTCAAGGCAGCAGGCTCAAATAAACTGCACTCAGATTATGTCCTGTTAGAAATATCATGTCATTTGGTCCCTCTTTTTTGTATCTTCAAGACTGACATCAGGACAAATAACAACATCATGGCTACACTGTAGTGGGTCTTTTCCAGCCAGACCTGCATGGTGACCTTAATCTCAGCTTGTCTCATCATGTCTACAGGGCTGACAGTCTCCATTTCCTCTGCTCCTTTAGCCAGGATGACCAGAACTCTTTTGGAAGCTATTTTTATCTTTTATTTTTTAAAGACTCAAACCAGACTGAAGAAGGATGCATGGCAGCACACATCCGGCCTGCCCCCTCCCAATGCTAGATTTTAAAAAAATGTTCATGTAAAACATTTAGTACACCTTGACCCCAACCTTAAATACAAAAGTACACATAAGAAAAAAAGAGAATATAGAAGATGGTGGTCAACGACGGAAGCACGAAGGTATCTTGAGCTATTTATCATTATTAAACATAGTACCAATTACTTAATATTTCTTATGTGTCATGCATTTCAGAGCAACCACGTGAGGCGGGCGCTAGTATCATCACTACCATTTAACAGAGGAAGAAACCCAGATTCCAGGGCCTCACAAATTGCTCCAAGTCACAAAACTCTAAGCAGAGAAGCTCCAAGTCACAAATACTCTAATCAAATAGTATTTGATTTCAGAGTCCAAGCTCTAAATCTCTATGCATAATTCTCTTCTTGTACTTTTGTATTGTTCCTACTAGATGGATAGCTAAATCACATATACGAAGTTGCATAAAACATTTTTAAAAGTGAGAGTTCATGAAGTATCTCAATTTAACAACAATATTTGCTTTAGATAAACATCAAAAGTCAGATGTATCTATTTCCCCACCTAGAATATCAATATCATATTTTCCTTTCAAATCTATTTTTTTAAAGAAACAAGAGGATATACTAAAATTAGCGGGCATTTCATAGGACTGCCCTTATTTAGGACAACATTAATTAGGTTTAGTTCCATAGTAATTTATAGAACCTTTACTTCATTGCCCAAGCTAGAAGAAACACAAGATTAAGAACTATAAAAGAAGACTACTACATTTTAAAAAAATCCTTTTGAAGTCCACTCCTCATATTTTCTTAAAAATTTAACAATGTAGTTTTCCTACAAATTCTAAAAGTTAGGTTAGTTGTGTAACTGCAAATAGCATTCTACAAGAAACAAACCTATGTATTTTTTACAAAGTTCTTAACCACTTTGGTTCTACAGCTATAATTAAGGTACCAAAGAATACACTGTGTGGTGGACAGTACACAGTGCAGGAAGGACAAAGTGTGAACAGAAAACACATTGGAGAGAGAAGCTCTTCCTTCTTTACTGGGGAAAAACTGCATCAAAAGTTTTGATGAGGCCAGACATGGTGGCTCCCTCCTGTAATCCCAGGACTTTGGGAGACCGAGGTAAGTGGATCACCTGAGGTCAGGAGTTTGAAACCAGCCTAGACAACATGGTGAAACCCTGTCTCTACTAAAAATACAAAACAATTAGCCAGGCGTGGTGGTGCACGTCTGTAATCCCAGTTACTCAGGAGGCTGAGGCTGGAGAATTGCTTGAACTTGGGAGGGGGAGGTTGCAGTGAGCCGAGATCGTGCCACTGCTCTCCAGCCTGGGTGATAGAGCCAGACTCTGTATCAAAAAAGCAAAAAAAGTTTTGATGAGAAATGAGTTTAATGTATACTAATAATAAACCTGTTAACTAACAGGTTAATAAAGTCAGTAAGGAAAACAACGGAGCTCAATCAATGGTTTCTGAAATTCTGCGCCTAACAATTTTTTTCCATACAGAATAAAAGGCAAAAAACTGTATTTACAAAATACCACAGGAGACAGACTTTTTCTTAAAAAGTAAAAAAAAATATGACCACAAATTAATAATATACACAAATATACACAAATGCGGTTCTTACCCGGTCTTCCTTCTTAGGCAACTGATCCTTGATAAGAGCCTTGGTGCGCCTGAGAAACCAGCCGGACATCCTTCTGGCAAGTCTCTGCATGGCCTTTCGGCCAGTGGCCAGTTCTCTCTTTGTGGCCGTGTGTCTCTGACCATGTTCTACTGGGTCAGAAAACTGCTTCTTGAAGCAGGTCCTGGTCCCTAAAAGGCCTGGCACAGCCCTTTATAAAGACAATAAGAAAAATGTAAGGGCTTTATTATCTAAAAAGAAAACACTAACTTCTTGCATCTAAGAGATATACCACATTACTTGATTATCAATGGTAACAAAAACAAAAGCCAAGAAAACAGAATGTTCTTTCTTTACAATAGTTTCAGGTTATGACTATGAGGATGAAACTGGCAGTTAACATGTATATTTACTTCAGGGACCAAGAGTAATATATATATAAAGATAGGTTTTCATGGGACTCTCTACTCTGTATAACACATCAGGGATCAAACACATCTAAAAACAGAAAAACGACTGTTTTGTTTGGAAACTAATGATTAGCAAACAAGATAGTATTCAGCTGAAGAACTATGAAACAACTTTTTACAAAGTGTGTTCCCTCACCAGTCCATAACACACCACAGTTCCTTCATGTTGTTCTGAAGAATGGTTCCAGTGAGACCAATGCGGACATTACATTTCAAAGCTTTCATAACTTCTGTTATTCTAGCTTTTGGATTCTTGATTCTATGAGCTTCATCCACAATGACAGCTGACCATTCCAAACTATAAAGTAAGAAAAAAGAAGGGTGAGGCCGAGAAAACTTCCTTTCTTAGTCCACAGCATTTTTAGAGAGTAGCTTTCTCTATCAAAGTTTTGGAATTATTTTTTCCTTTTTACTCTTTGATGACTCCATTGGATTCTTACCCACTTAGTTAAATGGTCACAGCCTTGGGCAGTCCACAAAAATAAAATGCAGAAAAGGTACAGACATTCTTTAATGATGGTAAAAAGAAAAATTTCATTTAAACATCACTGAAGTAACAATAAAGGAATTTTTTAAAGTTGCAAACCACAAAAACAAGTAAAACTTGCAATGTTTTATTGTAATGTTTTTCTGAATGAAAAATATCAATATAAACTCATGATTTTAAAAAGCTGTATTACATAGCCCTGTCCACTAAGAAAGGTCAGAAGTGATTGTTACCCCAGTAGCAATGAGCACCCATAGTGGTCTCTTCACTAAAAGGAACGAGAGTCTTGCGGAAAAATGGAGACAGCTGATTTCAGGCATACGTTGGGGGACGCACTGAACAGCCGAAAAGCACAGATGTATCCAAAGACAAACGCGAATATATCCAAAGAACGGAGACGCCAGCCTAATTGGAATATTTGAGCATTGTTAAGAATATTGACTACAATTGAAAATAAAATATTGAATAAACAAAAATCCAGGAGTTCTATGAAAAAATGAATTTAGACACTTCACAACACACACGAAAATTAACTAAAAACAGATCACAGACCTAAATATGAACTAAAACTTTTTAAAAAATGGGAAAAAAAAATTGTGACTCTGGATTAGGCACATACTTCTTAGATATGACACAAAACTTATAGTGAATTAAAAATAGAGTGGTAAGTTGGACTTCATCAAAGTTAAAAACTTTTGCTCTTCCAATGACACCATTAAGAAAATAAAAAGACATGCTACAGACTCGGCAAAAATATTTGCAAATCATAATCTGATAAAGGACTTGTATACAGAATATATAAAGAATTATTACAACTCGGCCAGGCACAGTGGCTCATGCCTGTAATCCCAGCACTTTGGGAGGCCGAGGCAGGTGGATTATGAGGTCAGAAGATCGAGACCATCCTGGCCAACATGGTGAAACCCCATCTCTACTAAAAATGCAAAAATTAGCTGGGTGTGGTGGCATGTGCCTGTAATCCCAGCTACTCGGAAGGCTGAGGCAGGAGAATCGCATGAACTAGGGAGTCAGAGGTTGTAGTGAGCCGAGATTGCACCACTGCACTCCAGCCTGGTGACACAGCAAGACTGTCTCAAAAAAAAAAAAAAAATTACTATAACTCAAGAAAATTTTAAACAACCCAATTAAAACACGAGCAAAAGATTCTAATAGACACCAAATGTCTATTTGAAGATATACAGATGGCAAATAAGCACATTAAAAAATTCTCAACATCGTTAGTTATTAGAGAACTGCAAATTAAAACATGAAATATCACAATGCACCCACTAGAACGGCTATGATAAAAATGATTAACAGTATCAGGTGTTGCTAAGGATGTGGAGAAACTAGAATCCTCATACACTGCTTTTGGGAAAGCACAGCGACTGTTCTAAAACAGTTGGCAGTTTACTAAAAAGGTAAACATATACTTAGCATAAGAACTCACAATTCCATTCCTAGGTACCTACCCAAGAAAAATGAAAACTTAGGCAAAGACTTGTATGTGAATGTTCACAGCAGCAAATCTGTATAGCCATAAACTGGAAACAGTTAAATGTCCATCAACTGGTGAATGGACAAAACACAGGATAGCCATATAATAATACCATTCAGCAACAAAAAGGAACAACTACTGAAATGTATCACAATACGTGGTACATTTGTTAAGTGAAAGAAGCCAGACACCAAAGACTTTATATTGAATGGCTCCATTTATATGAAATGTCCAGTTAAGGCAAAACCTATAGAAAGAGAAAGCAGATGAGTAGCTGCCAGAGACTGGAGATGCAAGCAGGGACTGACCATAGACAAATAACTTTCTGAGGTGATAGAAATGTTCAAAAACTAGATCGTGGTCATAGCACAACTGTTAAAATTTACTAAACATCATTCTAACTTACAAGAGTACATTTTATGTCAAGTATACTTCAATAATCCACCCAATCTGGGTCCACAGCAGAAGGAAGGTAGGAAGGAGAGGGAGGGAGGGAGGGAGGGAAGGAAGGAAGAAAAGAAGGGAGGAAGGGAGGAAGGGAGGCAGGCAGGGAGGCAGGAAGGAAGGAGAAAGAAAGAAAGAAAGAAAAAAAGAAAAAGAAAAAGAGAAAGAGAAAAAAGAAACAAAGAAAAAGAAAAGAGAAAAGAAAGAAAGAGGAAGGAAGGAAGGAAGGAAGGAAGGAAGGAAGGAAGGAAGGAAGGAGAGAAAGAAGGAAGGAAAGGACAGAAAGCGAGTGAAGGGGGTGAGAAACTTTGCCACCAGTACAGATGACCATTATGCTAACTTCTTACTCCAAAAACTGGTCATTAAGGCAAAAGAATCAAACATTCATCTTGCTTTTTTAAAGTCAAAATTGTGGTTAATTCCTGATTAACAGAGAAAGCTTTCCTTTACAGGAGAATACCATTAATGTGTAGAAAAGAAATAATAAAATTAGAAAAATATTATTTTGCCAAACCTAATAAAGTACCTGATTCAGACAAGAATAATTTGTGTGTGCTGATACTAAGTAAAAGGATTGAGGGATACCAGAATATTTAAATGGTGGCAAAGTATCACTCCACAGATTATTTGATCATTATAAAGCAAGAAACGTATCTTGACAATGGAGAGATCTAATGATGGTAACCTCCTAAACCTGTGCGACAGACTTGGCATCACTGACAGTCAAACAACTTGGCATTAATACTTTCTGAAGTGATGCAATATGAAGTCCACACAGCATCATTTATGAAGCATTCTTGCCAAAAATGTTTAATCTGAATCTATTTAAGCCTTTGGGCCAAAACCACGTTATTAAGATACAGATGACAGATAAATATATGTTGAGAAAGTAATCAGACAAATCTAATATGTGAGATATCCTAAAACAACTGGCCTGGTCCCCTCAAAAAGCCATATAATTAAAAAATACAAATTGGAAAAATGATAGAGATTAGAAGAATAAATAGACTTAACCAAACTTTTCATTTGAACCTTTATTGAATCCTGCTTTATAAGCATTAGATATTAAAGATGTTTTGAGAATGACTGAGGAAATTTTAATTGCTATTAATATTCTCGTGTGTGACGATGATAATGTGGTATGACAGCAAGTATTACTAGTTTTAGGAAATCCATGCTAAAATACTTCAGGATAAGGATGTCATGTTTTATGCAACTTGCTGAAATGACTCATTACCACCACCATACACAAAGACACAGACATAGACACACACACATTTACACAAACTTATATTTTGCCAACATTTGAATACACACACACACACACACACACCTGCTGAATCTAGATAGTGAGAATATGGATGGATGTTCGTGTACTGTTATTTTAACTTTTCTATAGCTTTCATCATTTTCTTAATATAAAGCTGAAAAAAGCTAGAAGCCTCAAGAACAAAGAAAGGAGAAAATAGCAAAAATTCTAGAAGCTGAAAAGAACATGGACAAGATGGCTTACAAAAGCAGAGACTACAGTGTCCTATGCCAACAGTGGAAAGAGCCAAGAAGCAATCTAGTATTATTTACACATTCTTGAAAAGTTAAGAACTGGTGGCCCCAGATGCCTGTGGAAACTGGAGTCATGTAAATGCTCAGCAGTCTGTTTAAGAACCCTCCCGCTGCACAAAGTAGATGGGCCAGGCCATCCGAAAGCAGGCAAGAGAAGGGCAAAAATCCTAATTTTCCTTAAGAAGAAATCAACAGATGATGCTGAAAACTAAAGGAAAATGGAAAAGCTGCAGCATAAACATGTTCTTCAGCACGAAGGAAGTAAAGACGATGAAGATCAGTAACAGCTGAGGTAAAGGTAACTGGGGGACAGTGAACTGCAGGTTTCCCTAGAAGTCTTTTATCATATTTGGCTCTTTAAATCATATACATACTTAACTCTAATAAAAACTGAAATGAAGTAAAAAAAAATATAACAGCAATAAGAAAAATACTATAGCTCACTCATGTTACATAGCACGTTCATCCCCCCATGGAGTATCCGTGATAAAAGGACAGAACACTGTCCTCACAAAAACAACTTAACATTTGCTCAGGTAAAATATTAATTATTTTAAATATTTGCCAAACACAAAATAGAGACATTTGAACAAACAAATACAACTAAATAACTATAAAATCATAAACATTTCTCTAATCTTATAAATATATGATTTATAGTTACATAATTCTACTTCAGAATTCTTATTTAATATTTATAACAATATTTATAATAATCAGAAAAAACAGTCACCTAACAATCATTTATTTGGCAACTCTTATGTGCTAAAAGTACTGAGATACAGAATTTAAAGATAAAAATCTGGCCGGGCGCGGTGGCTCAAGCCTGTAATCCCAGCACTTTGGGAGGCCGAGACGGGCGGATCACGAGGTCAGGAGATCGAGACCATCCTGGTGAAACCTAACATGGTGAAACCCTGTTTCTACTAAAAAATACAAAAAAAAACTAGCCGGGCGCGGTGGCGGGCGCCTGTAATCCCAGCTACTCAGGAGACTGAGGCAGGAGAATGGCGTAAACTCGGGAGGCAGAGCTTGCAGTGAGCTGAGATCCGGCCACTGCACTCCAGCCTGGGCGACAGAGCGAGACTCTGTCTCAAAAAAAAAAAAAAAAAAAGATAAAAATCTACACCAAAGAGCTTACAGTCTAAGGGGACAGACAGGTAAGAAATAATTAAAATATGACTGATGCTATGATAGATGAATTTATTACATTTATCGAATTGCAAAACATCTTTTGGGGTGGTACAGTATATTGGTTAAAAACCTAAGGTCTGGCCAGGCATGGTGGCTCCCACCTATAATCCCAGCACTTTGGGAGGCCGAGGTGGGAGGATTGCTTGAGTCCAAAAGTTTGAGATCAACCTGGGCAACACAGGGAGACTCTGTCTCTACAAAAAATAAAAACATTTTCCAGGCATGGTGGCGCATGCCTGTAGTCCTAGTTACTTGGAAGGCTGAGGTGGGAGACTGAGGCTACAGTGAGTGGTGATAGCACTACTGCACTCCAGCCTGGGCAACAGAGCAAGACTCTGTCTCAAAAACAAAACCAAACCAAACCTGAGGTCTGGCGTTAGATGGTCAAGGTTCGATCCTCATGTCTGCCACTGACTTAGTTGTCAAGGCCTAGAAAAATTATTTAACCTCTCCATGCATCAGATTAGTCTTCTGTCAGGATCCATGAAACAGTAACAGGCTAATTTATTAGCTTACAAGTTTGATTTATAAAATTAAATCCCAGACCTGACAAAAATGGTAGCTCTAAGTTCAGCTTTACCAATAATTATATTCAAAGTGAATGGTCTAAATACCCAAATAAAAGGCAAAGATTATCCAAATGGATGAAAAAGCAAGACTGAACTATAAGAGACTCACCCCAAATATTAAGAACAGATGTACTGCAATAAAAACATGAAAAGCTATTTACATGCAGTAAGCATAAGACTCAGCATAAGACAGCAGCATTATTCATACAGTCAAAATCTGGAAACAATTCAAATGTCAATCAACTGGAGAATGGACAAAATATGGGATAGCTATATGACAGTATCATCGGCAATAAAAAGGAACAGACTACTGAAATGTATCACAATATGGCTATGCTCATATCAGATAAAACATCAAGATAAGAGATATTATTAGAAATAGTTATTTTTTAAAGATAAAAGGATCAATTCATCACAAAAAAATCCATAAATGCATGTGCACCTCATAAAAGAGCTTCAAAATACTAAATTAAACGGTGACAGAAGTGAAAGGAGAAATAAACATATCTACAATTATAATTGAAGATTTCAACTCTCCTCTCTCAGATACTGTAAGCCAACCAAAAAGGAAATCAGCAAAGATAGAAAACACTTGAACAACATCTTAACCAATCTAATCTTATTGATATTTATAAACACTACACCTAATAACTGTAGAACGAACATTGTTTTCCAAGTGCACATGGATCAGAAAAATGCAAATTACACTAGAAGATACTACTACGCACCTACTAAAATAACTAAAAGGAAAAGACTGACAATACCGAATGTTGCTGAGAATATGAAACAACTGAGCTCTCACACATTGCTAGCTGGAGTAAAACCACTGTGGAAAATGGTTTGGCAGTTTCTTCTAAAGCTAAACCTACAGTAAACCACATAATACAGAAATTCTACTCCAAGAGAAATGAAAACATATGTCCAAAAAAGCCTTACACACAAATATCCCTTGAAGTTTTATCTATAATAATCCAAAACTGGGAAAACCCAAAAACCCATCCTCAAACGGATGGGCAACAAAATGTGCATATTGATAAAATGGAATACAATGCAACATGAAGAAAGAACAGTCACTGACACACTCCACAACGCCAACGAATCTCAAAAAACATGCTGAACAAAAGACGCCACCCACAGAAAAGGGAGCTTTCTGTGCAATACCACTGAGAGGCTCCGTAACAGCTTCACCTCATCTACAGTGGCAGAAATTAAAACCAGTAGTTGCCCTAGGTGAGGGTTGAGGAAAAGCCACTGTAAAGAGGTAAGAGAAAAGTTCTGGGATGATAAAAATAGTTTTTACCTTGTTTGGGATAGTGGTTGCACTCCTTTGTCGAAACTAGGAGTCAGTATACTACTACCCATGGCCAAATCCGGCCCGCGGGCACTTCTGTATGCTTAGCAAGCTAAGAGTAGTTTTTACATTTTAAATGGTCATAAAAATAAAAAAGAAGAATATGCAGCTGAGACTACATGTGGCCCAAAAGCCTAAAATATTTACTATCTGGCCCTTTACAGAAAAAGTTTACCAATCCCTGGTCAAGATTCATCAAACTGTATACCTGAAATGGCATAATTATTCTACACAAATTAACTCTCATTAAAGTTGATTTTAATACAACTCTCCAGCTGGGCTCGAGGGGCTAGTTTTCACAAAGACTGATTTAATTCATCCTCTATCATTTTCCACATGAGCCGATTTACCCAAAGCCACAGAGCTAATTAGTAATTTTTTTACTCTTTATTTTGTGCTTATAAAATTTGAAACAAGTATCAACTGTTCTTTTTATCCTGTGCTAAATCATTTTAATGCTGATGTGGAAGTATCACCTTAAAAAAATTACCTAGTTTTCTAAACTTCGGTTGACTTTGGGGGAATATCATTAACTCCTTCGTTAGCAGTAGTTCAAATTGAGTATAACTATAATGTCTAAACATTTTAAAGACTTATTAGATAACTGTTTCTAATGCCACGCTTTCATCTTCACCTAAAAGGTAAAAATTGTAACCCTGTAGAGGGAAATCTAGGCTCCAAGCAGATGGAAATCAATGATTTTAGCAAGGCCCAGCCCGTTGCCGGAACAATGATGAAGAGTCCAGACCTCACTACCATGGTCCTGAGACCAGACTACTATAAAAGCCTTGCATTGGTTTGCTAGGGCTACCAAAATAAAATACTACACACTAGATGGCTTAAAGCAACCAAAATTTATTTCCTCGCAATCCTGGAAGCTCGAATTTCAAGAGCAAGGTGTCAGCAAATTTGGTTTCTCCTGAGGCCTCTCCCCTTGGCTTGCAGATGACTGCCTTCTTGCTGGGTCCTCACAAGTCCCTTCCTCTGTGGCATGTGTGTGTCCTTGGTGTCTCTTTCTCTTCCTATAAGGATACTAGTCATACTGGACCCAGGCCCCACCCAATCAGCCTCGGTTTTAACCACCTCTTTAAAACTTAAAGTGACCTGTCTCTAAACACAGTTACATTCTGAGGTGCTGGGGTTGAGCCCTGAACATTTAAACTGTGGAAAGCGGTTGAGAAGAAGTGACACAATTCAGACCATAACAAGCCTCTTAATTGGTCTCTCTCCATTCAGCTTGGCTCTCCTCTATCTGCACACACAGCAACTAAGGTATTCACAAAGTGCAAATCTGATCATTTTTATCCTATTGGTAATCTGCTGACAACACTGTAGGGGGCGCTCTATTGCTCTCAGGATAAAGACCAAAATCCTCAAAGTACCTTCCAATACTCTCTGTAATCTATTCCCTGCTTATCTCACTGGTGTTACCTTTTGGCCACTTCTCTCTTACACTCTATGCTACAGTGGTTCTGTGTGTGTGTGTGTGTGCGTATTTTTTGCCACTTTATATTCACAACAGACTCCCATAATTGAAATAATTCATGAAAATCACTGACCTAGTTCAGAGACAGGGTCTGCATAAAAGGCTGTACAAGAGATTTAGGACAAGTCTTATTCTTTAACAATCATTGTTTGAAGAAGTATCCTGTAATCAATGTCAGAAATAGAGTAAGAAATTCTAGGAAACCTGATGCAGGTTTTTCCTTCTCAGAGAATAAGTTATTATGAATTAATATTTCAACAATTCTAAAATGAAATTAATAATCATAGGAATAATCATTACTTCTTTTTAAAAAATCACAGTATAGGCTAGGCATGGTGGCTCACACCTGTATCCTAGCACTTTGGGAGGCTGAGGTGGGTGGATTGCCTGAGCTCAGGAGTTTCAGACCAGCCCGGGCAATGTGGCGAAACTCCGTCTCTACTAAAAACACAAAAGCAAGACTCTGTCTCAAAAAAAAAAAAAAAAAAAAAAAATCTTAATGTAAAGGGATGTAAGCAGAATATTAATACAATCATTCCTATTATTCCCATTACCTGTTAAGTTCATCCAGGCATAAGCGCAGTGTTTCATAAGTTGTTAGAGCAATTTCACATTTCCTCTGCTTTACACGAATTAGTTCATTATCTTTTCTGTTTCCATGTAAAATAGTGACTCTGAAATATCCCCAGGTGTCCAATTCATCCTTCCAGTTGTAGAGGACAGAAAGAGGAGCAACTATTAAGAACATCTAAAAGAAGAATAAAAAAATGTTGTTTTTTAAAAACTGAAAAATAATCCCAAAGTGAAATCAAGAATATCAATAGTCCTCTTCCTTCATTTTGACATCTAGTTAGTAACAATAAATACAACTGAGTGATTAGCTATATCTGGACATTGAAGATTCTCAAAAAGTACTTTGCTGTTTAATTAGCTTTTTTCAGGACATAATAGACACCTAACGTTGCTCAAAGAAACACGTGTTTTTTATTTCCCCCTACCAAAAAGGCATTTAGAAATAAGAGAGAAGTAACTTTCCAAAAGAGAGAAAAGAATAAAATCTGGATCCCAATAATAGCTTCAAAGGCCAAGTGGGTAATGTACACACACCAGCAGGCCACGTGTTCATCTTGAAATATATGGTCTCCTTGAGCTCTCCTTCCTTTTGCATTTTCCTAGTCCACTTCCTCTTCCCCTCTCTCAGATACTCTCAGAGAACTGGAAAATTCACTGGAAAATTGAAGCAATCAGAAGAAAACTTCCTGGATGAACTTGTCTCAGTATCGTATCAATAACCTATCTATATTCATTTCCATATATTTTGCCCTCCCACCTGTTGCCATGGATATGCTGTTCATGTTCTTCTCCAAAAACAACCCCTGAATGTACACAGGGGCTCCCATTCCTTCTTGCCAACCTAAAGTCAATGCTGCAGAAAGTGCCCCCAATCTCCCCTACCTGATTAACTTTTCTATTTTAATGAACCATATCACCTATGGACAAGCATGTTCAAATATTTCCCAGAGTTAAAAAAATTCAAAAAACGAAAATTTAAAAAAACCTCTTTTCCTTAGCCCAACATCTGTCTCTAGCTATTACCTCACTACTCTACTCTCCCTAGAGCGAAGATCCTCAAGACTTATCAATAATTAACTCTCCTCCTGTTCTCTCTTGAAACTCAGGTAAATAGGACTTCTGCCCTAATAATGCCTACCAATCAATCCCTCTGAGGATCACCAACATCTCTCTGGTTATTCCTCACATTCATGTACCTTTCCTGTACTAACCCAGAATCCTCTGTCATCAACCATTTTAACTTTTTAATGTTTTTATTTCTCCCTGTTACCACTATTCCTATCCTGTTATGTTTAAAAGGGTTACCAGTACGATTCTTTTCTAAAGTTTTATACTTGATCTACTTGACAGAGATGAACCAATTAAACATACAGAAAAAATTCAGTTTAACAAATACTCAAAGTTCTAAAAAAAAAAGTCTCGTATTTATCGCTACAATCTTAACTCTCTCAAAAATACCCAACATAATTTATACCCTACTGTGTGCATAGCTGATCATTTTTTCCTTCAGTATACAAAGGTTATTTAATATACAGAAATTTCAGTTTAGAATCCACTGTAGTCAGGGGCCCTTCCAAGTCCTTTGTATAAAAACAGCATAAGTTTTGATAGAATATCAACTTTTGGCATTAAATAAATTGATTAACTATGTTGGGTATTTTTGAGAGAGTTAAGATTGGAGAGATAAATACAAAAACTTTTTTTTTTAGAACTTCGAGTTTTCTAGCAAAGATTCCAATTTTACGTTCTGTAATTTTTCTGTAAAGGTGTAATTTATTTTTCATTTTGACATCACACTTATTCCCAGGTAGAACTTTTGTTTCAAGTCTACTGTCACTGTCCTCTGAACAAACATTATTATTCCTAACTTAGCATCAACATGTACGGTTTCATGTATTAATTCATTCATCAATTGAACACTTTCTATTTTCTAAGTACTACATGAAGTACTAAAGTTTGGCATTATGCCAAAACTTGATATTCTATCAAAACAGAAAGTTACAAACCAGATCAATAAATATCAACTCTTGCAATTAAAAAAGAGAAGTAAATAAGAAATATAAGAATGGAAATGACAAGCAAAGTTAACTATAAATTCAACACAGTATCAACTAATATATATCAATAGGTTTTGAGGAGAAACTGGGAGAAAATTTATTTTTCATAAGTTGAGAAAACTTGAGGAGAAACTACCAAATAATAACTTATATTATAAAGCTAAAATAACTAAAACTGTTTAGCACTGGAAGAGAAATGAACAAATAATTAGGACAGAATAATATGTCTAGAAATAGAAATGAGTTTAATTTTACACAAAAGTGGCCCTTCAAATCACTGTGGAAAAGTGGACTTATTCAACAAATGGCATTAAGATAACTGGCTAACCACCTGAGAAAAATAAAATTGGATTACTAGACACCTACAGCAAAATAACTTCTAGCTGAAACAAAGATATAAAGGTATAAAATGAAATCACACATATTATAAAGAAACCATGAGTGAATGTACTTACAATTTTAGAGTACAAAAGGTTTTTCTAGGCAAACATAAAACCCAGAAACTATAAAGACCAATACCTGTAACTACCTAAACATTTGTAAAAAATCACTACACAATTCAAAGCTGACTCTACATGACGAAGAAATATTTTCAAAACATATTATGAGCAAAAAATTAGATTCCAGGATATATCGTTAAGGACTATTAATCAAAGACTATGATTAAAAACAAGAATTAGATTTAAAAATAGCTTTTAAGCATCTGAAATGCTACAGCTTCACTCATAAAGAAATGTAAATCAAAGCAAGATAAAAATTTTAAATCTCTCAGACAGTCATAAATTTATGTTTACTAATACCTAGTGCAAATAAAAAGGTGGAAACAGACATTCTTACACACCACTGGTGGGGATAAGGGGTAATTTAACTCCAGTTATCAAAAAGTAATCCCCTAAATCCAGCTCCACTATCCAATTCCAGCACTAAGAATTTATCCTACAGTTATTGTTGCACAAGTTGTCAAGATATATGCATAAGGATGCTCACGGGAGCATCATGTGCAACATAACCCTCTTGGCACATATGAAGAACTAAAAAAATAGTGTATAGTAAATAAAATAATTATAAAATATTTTTGTTAAATTGTCATTGAAATTGTTTCTGATGCTCGTATTATGATTGCTACAAAAATCCTCCTCTTTTGCATTAATTATGAATTTTACTTAGAATCTCTAAAGCTTCATCATGCAAGAAAATATTTTATAATAAATTTACTATGATTCATAAAAACTGAATTTCAACCAAAACTTAGCCTACATCTAAAGAGCCATTCCAAAAATCAATGTTTAAAATGTACAGCTTGTGTCTTTTCCTTTAAGAATTTATTCTTGGCACAAAACATTCATGCATTCTTAGATGATTTATTCACACTTGAAAAGTTTTTAAATGTGTATGAGATGGATCGTATCACACACACATACCTTAGACCCACCACTCCTTAATTTGTAACACTCAGTTCATTAAAGGGCTTTCTTCAACAAGCTTCACCATTAATTTTTCAGAATCCAATTGTAATTCTGGCATTAGCATAACAAATACAAAAGAATTGATTTCTTCTCCACTTCATAAACTATCTTTTTAAAACGTACATTGTTTTAAATGAACCAATACAAATTTATCTTTCAAAACTTTCAAAGTTACAATTTTTGTTTGTATTGACTTCTTGGAAATACTGTAGAATGTCACTGGTGATTCCATTAAAAACTCTAAATTCCAGTTCAAATGACTAACTCAACACATGTTTGTGTTGATGCCAATGAAACAAAAGAACAAACCTAATAAATCCATAATAGTGGTAGAATGCCTGGAAGGGCAGCATCAGCAGGTCAGAACAGTGCAGGAGCAGATGAGAACTGGCACACCTGAAGAACTGAGCAACCCACCCTACACCTCTGAAAGCGAAACCTCCCCCTGCCCTCCCCCACTAAAAACTTTACTTTTCCTAGAAGGAACCTAAAAAACAACGATAAGCAAAACAAAACTCAACAAAACAGCTAAGGCAGTTGGAAAGACTGAGTCAAGAAAAAAAATGGCCAAGTAATTTTAAGAAGGAAAAGTTACACCCGTCATCAAAGAAACTGATACTAGCATCAGTATGCAACTTTCCCTGCATAAAGCACTGTATATATTTTTCTAAAGCAAAATTTATTTGGAAGAATTCTACAGTGACTGTTAGGGCTCGTGGAAATTTCCGAATTTCATCAATTAAAAAAGTCCTTAATACTTCCAAACAATTTAAAAAAATTCTTTCCAAGGAAAAAAGTCAGGTTGACATTGAACTCTCATCTGCAACACGGAGTGACAGAAGATAATAAAATGAGTTTTGTCATTATAAAAGAAAATTTTGAACTTAAAATTCTATAGGCAGATAAGCCTATGGATAATCAAGTGTGAGAGCAATATACAAACACATAAAATTTACCAAAGAATTTTTTTCTTTTTCTGAGACAGAGTCCCACTCTGTCACCCAAGCGGGAGTGCAGTGGCACAATCATGGCTCACTGCAGCCTCAACCTCCTGAGCTCAAGTGATCCTCCTACCTCAGCCCCCGAGTAGCTGGGACTACAGGCACAAACCACCACACCTGGCCTCTGAAGAATTAACGGAAGACATTAGGCAAAAGTTGGTATGAACACAAAGAGAAATAAACTGAAAGTCATAACAAGAAAATTTAACATATTTCTTTCCAGATCCAAATGCTCAGACAAAAAGAAAATAACACTATTAAACATTTTAACAATGCAATTAACAAACATGATTAAATAGAAATATATAAAACCATGTGACCATGATTACAAAGAATGCACAATATAAGCAACATTTTAAAACAACAGAGACTACACCATGCACAACATCAAAGCATAAAAACTGATCCATGGATGTAATCACAAATAAAAAAATATCAAGGCTGTTACCTGATGCAACAAAATAGAAATTGTCAAAAAGGGTTCAGCCCTCCTACCATCCTGTGCCCTAACAATAGCTATTCACTTCGAAATTTTAAAACTTCTCTTTTAAATAGTACTTGGGTAAAAGAGAATAAAAATTGGGGCCGCAGATAATTTAGAAAAGACTAATGAAAAGACTACATGTTAAAAACTATAGAACACAGCCAAAGGAGTGCTGAAAGGAACTTTTTTCTGAGACACGGTCTTCTCTGTTGCCCAGGCTGCAGTGCAGTGGCATGGTCAAGGCTCACTGCAGCCTGGAACTCCTGGGCTCATGAGATTCTCTCACCTCAGCCTCCCCAGTAGCTGAGACCACAGGCACACAGTACCACAACTGGCTGTTTCATTTTTTTTTATTTTCTGTAAAGACAGGGTCTCCTTATGGTGCTCAGGCTGGTCTCAAACTCCTGGGCAATCCTCCCGCGTCAGCCTCCCAAAGTGCTGGGATTACAGGTGTGAGTAACCAAGCCTGGCCCAAAGGAACACTTATAGCTTTAAGGTAATTTATTAGAATACAAAAAGACTGAAAATAAATAAAGAAATCAACTGAAGAAGGTAAATAGCGATGTACATTATAGCAAGGAATTTACAGTTGTTCCTCCATATCTGTGGGTTTCTTAACAGTGGATTCAACTAACTACAAACTGAAATACTAAAAAATTCCATCTGCACTAAACATGTACACAGACCTTGTCATTATTTTCTAAACAAAACAATATAAAAGCTCTTTATGTAGACTTTACATTGCACTAAGTAAACTGCAGATGATTTAAAGTATATGGGAGGATAATAGGTTATACGTAAATACACTATTTTATATCAAGGACTTGAGAATCCACACATTTTGGTACCCAAAAGAGGTCCTGAAACCAATCCCACATAGATACCAAGAGACAACTGTATATATATGTGTGTGTGTGTGTGTGTGTGTGTGAGAGATATGATACACCACATATGCATACATACACACACACATACATATATATATAAAGAGAAAGAAAAAGAAAGGTAGGAGAGGAATTTGAGTCAACTGAGGTAACTATTACAAGCATATTTTACCACATTATCAAATGAGTATCTTTGTTAACTTTATTTTCTTTCATTCTTGTTCTTTTTTTGTTTTTTTTGAGACAGGGGTCTCACTTTATTGCCCTGGCTGGAGTGCAGTGATGCAAACATGGCTTACCGCAGCCTCAACCTCCCCAGGCTCAGGTGATCCTCCCACTTCAGCCTCTGAAGTACCTGGGACTACTGGCACACACCACCACACCTAGCTAATTTTCTGTATTTTTAGTAGGAAAGATGTTTTGACATGTTGCCCAAGCTGGTCTTTAACTCCTGGGCTCAAGCAATTCGCCTTCCTTGGCCTCCCAAAGTACTGGGATTACAGGCATGAACCACTGTGCCTGGCCCATTCTTGTTCTATAATATTTTAAATATTTTTAAGTATTTTAATATATTTAAAATATTACTTTTCCCTCTTTTGCTCTCTCACCTGTCTGCTGTCACAGTGGCATAAAAGAGATATATAAAGGCTCTGTAGTGACATTGAGAACCAGGGAACAACTGAATTCAGAGCTAAAAACAGTACTTGAGCTATTGAATACTTAAAATACATTAAGTACCATTATTATCTTCAGGATCACATTGAATCTGATACTCAGGATGCATTTATGCTACTGAAAAACTAAAAGAATTTAAAATGACAACAATTATAATATCTGGAGCCAGTAGTTCTGAAAAGTTTGTGTTGAAATGGTCTTTATGATAGACAAGAGTAAACTTGGACTTCTCAGCAATCTTGTATTTAAGACTTGTATGAAAGAGTCTGTTTTAAAACTTACGGTAAGTAGTTCATTACCAAATATGATAAAAGATTTCATAAAATCACTTCATTTTTATTCTTATCTGGTTTCCTGGAGGCTGAGGGTGGTATTTTTTAAAAGACATGTAAGTATAATATACTTTTTTATATTTCATTGCTTATTAGAAATCTTTTTGGTAAGAATCATATATAACGTATTTATAAGCACACATTTAGGAAGGAGAAAACTGAAGGATGGATATGAAGAGCATTCACAGACATAAGGGCAGAGACAAGTAAGCACAGACCTAGTCTTTCTGATTCCAACTTTCCTGTATTGGTAGAACCTACTTCATGTTTTTTGGATGCAATTAGTCAGCTAGACAACTTGAAATAAGTTCATGGAGCACTTTTGTTACCAATATCTGTAACTATCACCTTTATATTCTCACATAAATAAAAAACATAAATAAATGAAAGTTTCAATTAACTTTACATATACATTCATAGAAGTTTAACAAATCAACCTAAGTAAATTATGTAAATCCAGCCAAGCAACAGATTAAAACCCCACAGCAAACCCAAGCTGAAATTCCGTTTTGCCATTATGATAGTCAATCAAATTTAACTCGGGAATAAAATTGGCAATCTTTCAAAAACTAGGACTATAAAACAAATATTTTAATAACATCTTTAAGTTCTCAGGTTGTAGAATTCACGCTAATCACTTTAATGTGCGGCGTTTAACTATCTCTATGCGCTCTGCAATGCAGCACGCGAGTCGGAAATGTCCGGATTTTACCTTTTTTGCTGCAGAAGAAGGGGGCTCCTTTTTCATGCCTCTCAGCAAAAACTCTGGCCTGTTGTTTTCAATGTCCTCACGAGTTCCCTTTTTATGCAAAACTGCAGCCAGAAATGAAATAACCTGCAGAAAAAAGACTTTTTCAATCACTGTGTATAATGTGTCATGACGTACAAAATTTCACTGCTTACATGACTGTTCGATTAGTGACAAAGTATGTACAAAGAGATTTGTTGGGGGGAAAAATAGAACATGAAATATGAGTACAGATTTTCTTCTAATAACAAACAGTATTTTTCACAGTTGTAAACAAACAAACAAAAATCTCACATTACCCTCTTTTCACGATAACTTCTACCTACCCAATGAATTCTTTCTTAATTCCACCACTTGAGACACTACCTTCTTATTTGTTTCTAACCATGGAAACTCTCTCTTCATATCCTCTATTAGAATCAACTGTATACATTCTTGTTTCCATGTAGAAAATAAACTCCTTAAGGGGGATAATATTTGGCCCATAAATTTGTACATTTCTATTTATCTAATAAATATATGTGAAAAGGCAAAATGTTATTTTAAGATAGACTAATTCATTAATATATACAACATTTTGAATAACAGCTCATCTCCAAAAATCAAGTGAGAAAAACAGACAGATAGAAAAAAGGAATCATAACCTCATATAATAAAGAGCAAGAAATACTGAATTGATTAGACTTTGAATCAAATGTTGGCTCTGATTGCTTGGCTGCTCTACGAACTTGGACAAGGTAGTTAACCTCTCTGAATAATATTTGTAAAAATGGCAAAAAATAATTTTGGCAGGGTTGTTTTAAAGATTGGGAAGAAAGGTATATGAGATATCCATATGGAAGAAAATAACTGATCATTACCTTACAAAAATAAATTATATAAGAAGAAAAACTATATAAAACAAAAAACTACGTGAGAATCAGAAAAATTATAGAAAAAAGTATACTTAACAAGGGTGTGGATACCTAGTCTGAATCCCAAACGATAGAAGAAAATAAGTGATACAGGAGAAGTGTCTGAAGAAATAAAAGCTGAAAACTTAACTGATTTTTTAAGAAATCAAGCCACAGATTCAAAATCTTCTTCTAAGAACCAAAACCAAAACAAAATGAAAACCAAAAACCAACTAACAAAAAACCACAAGCAGGTGCTTCACTGAAACAACTTGAGACAGAAAAATGTTTGTTAAAAGCAGCCAGAAAAAACAACAACAGATCACCTACAAAAAAGCAACAACCGGTCTGGCCACAGTGGCTCACACATGTAATCCCAGCACTTTGGGAGGCCAAGGCGGGCGGATCATTTGAGCCCAGGAATTCGAGACCAGCCTGGACAACATGACAAAACCCCATCTCTGCAAAAATTACAAAAATTAGCTGGGCACAGGGTGGCTCGTGCTTATATCACTAGCTACTTGGAAAGCTGAAGTAGGAGGATTGCTCGAGCCCAGGAGAATGAGGCTGCAGTGAGCCGTCACGGCACCACTGTACTCCAGCCTGGGCCACACAGCAAGACCCTGTCTCAAAAAAAAAAAAAAAAACCCAAAAACAAACAAACAAACAAATAGATAAGTAGCTGACCTTGCAGGAAAAGAATGGAAGGTACTACAGAATATTTTCAAAGTGATAATAAAAGCAACCTATATTTTTATACCTACAGATGATATTCAAGAATGAAGGGTAAAGATTTTCAGACAACCAAAAAGTGAGCCAATTCGTCACCAAAAGAGCCACACTAAAGAAACTATCTAAAGAATGTTTTCAGGTACAAAGAAAATGACTCTAGATAGAAGATTGGTGACACAGGGAAAAATTAAGAGCAACAAAATGGTAAATATATACAAAATATATATGTATATTGATTGACATTATGAAACAATAAAAAAGTTTTGTTGAAATCAACAGATTAAAAGCTATGACAACAAATGTATATTAGTCGGAAGGAGCACAAGTGTAGTTATAATATTCTGAGGTCACTATGCTGTAGGGAGGAAATTAAAGTACTAATTTATGTTAGATTATGATAAATCAATGGTATCTATTGTCATCTCTAGGGTAACCATTAATAGAATAAAAGAATGTGTACCTAATAAAAGGGGATAATAAAGTTATAGGAAACAATCTGTCCAAAAGGACACACAAAAAAGTGGGAAAAATGTGACATGGAATAAATAAAAAGCAAACAGTAAAATACTAAGTTTAAATCCAAATATATTAGAAAGCACATTATATGGAAATGGACTAAACAGTCTAAACAAAAGATAAAGATTGTCCAAATAAAATATATTTCTTTGCCATTTACAAGAAAAACTTCTAAAAAAAAAAAGGGATAAAGTTCTAATTAGAAAATAAAAATGACAGACCATGTAAACAAAAATCAAAGAAAACTGATACAGCTATATTCATATCAGACAAAGATGCTGAGGCAAAAAACCATTATGAAATGAAAGAGGCACACTTTAACTTAATATTGATAATAAAATTAGTTCACTTGGAAATTTTAAGAAGTCTAAATTTATCAATAAAGAAAAATTTACTGAAATAAAAGTAGACAAATCCATAAGCACAATGGTAGATTTTAAAATAACTCAGCAAGAACAAACAAAATAATCAGTAAAGATATAGAAGACTTTAAAACGATTGTCAGCCTTGACCTAGTGAACATTTGCTAGAACACTGCACACTACTGCAAAGCAGTTTCAGTTCAAGTACCCACGAAATAGTTACCAAAGTTGACATATGGGGCCCGGTGCAGTGGCTCACACCTGTAATCCCAGCACTTTGGGAGGCCGAGGAGGGCGTATCACCTGAGGTCAGGAGTTCGAAACCAGCCTGGCTAACATGGTGAAACCCCATTTCTACTAAAAATACAAAAAAATAGCTGGGCATGGTGGCGCGTGCCTGTAATCCCAGCTACTCGGAAGGCTGAGGCAGAAGAATCACTTGAACCCAGGCAGAGGTTGCAGTGAGCCAAGATCGTGCCATTGCACTCCAGTTTGGGCAACAAGAGTGAAACTCTGTCTCAACAAAAAAAAAGGTTGACGTATGCCAGGCCACTGAAGTCTCAATACATTTCAATAGACAGAAACCATACAGAATATGTTTTTTGATCACAATACGAGAAACTAGAAATAACAAAAATATAAGCAGAAAATCTCCAAATGTTTGGACAGTAAGGAACAGAGTTCAAAGAACTCACAATATAAATTATAAAATATTTGAATTAAATAACGAGTAACAATACGTGTTGAATTTGTAGAATACGGCTAAAGCTGTACCTTAGGGATTTAAATGAATATTACAGACAGTCCCCAACTTATGATAGCTCAACTTGCAATTTTTCAATTTACAATGGTGTAAAAGTAATACGCATTCAGTAGAACTGTAAATCAAGTACCCATACAATCATTGTTTTTCACTTTTAGTAAAATATTCAATAAACGATATGAGATTCAATACTTCGGTATGAAATAGGCATTGTGTTAGATGATTTCGCCCAACTACATGCTAATGTTAAGTGTTCTGAGCATATTTAAGGTAGGACAGGCTAAGCTATAGCATATATTTATGGGGATATAACCCCACTGTAAGTCAAGGAGCATCTGTATTAGGAAAGAAGAGAGACTATTAATCAGTTATCAAAGAATCTATCTCAAAAACTTAAGAAAATAACAGAAAATTTAACACAGAAAGCAGAGATTACTAAAAAATACAATTAAAATGATCAACAATGCCAAATGATCATCCTTTGAAAGAATTTTTTAAATAAACTCCTGGCAAAATTGATAAAGATAATAGAGAAGAAAAAAGGCAAACAAAAAATATGTATAATCCATAATAATGCTTTGCCAATAAATGTAAACATTTAGAGGAAATGTAGAAATAGAACTTATCAAAAACCGACACAAGAAAAGGAAATCTACATACTCATAAAACCATGAAATAAACCTGAATATGTAATTATAAACCTTCTACAAAGAAAAGTTTAGGGCCAGATAGTTTCGCCAACAAATTCTACCTAATGCTTAAGAAAAATGTAATGCTAATCTATAACAGACCCTTTCAGGGTTTAGAAAAAGGGGAAAATATTCTCACCTCGTTTTGTGAGTTTGGCATAACTTTGATAAGAAAATCTGACAAGAACATTATAATACAGGAAATTTACAAGCCAGTTTCTCTTACTCATATAGAAGCCGAACTCTTAAACAAAATGTTAGGACACAGAACACAGAAATTTAAAAAAGGAAATAATATATACCAAAACCAAACTGGCTATATTCTGCAAATATAAGTTTGGTTTAACCTTTGAAATTTAGGTATTAGGTAGTTATCAGCTAGGTATCTTAGGCATTACACGTAGCATTCCTAACTTAGATTCCTTAAAATGAGAATAGAATGACCTATTACAAGAAACATATTTTACTAGAAGCAGTACATTATTAGGCACACTGCAAAAAGTTGAGAATGTATATTTTATCACTAGAGGAACCACTAAAAATAAAAAGCAAAGAACTATAGATAAAAAGTCAACAGAAAAATTAAAATCAAATTCTAAAAAATATCGTATCAACCCAAAGGCAGGCAAGAAAGAAGAACAGAAAACAGGTTGTTCAAACTGTTCAAATCAGACTGTTTCCGAATGAACAGAAAGCAAATGTTATATCCAAATCCAAACATAAGAATGACATTAAATGTAAATGAACTAAATATTCCAATTAAATATCAGAGATTGTCAGAATGAATAAAAGAGCTGTCTACAAGGGACATTTCATAGTAAAAAAAAAAAAAAAAAAGTCAATTCATAAGGAAGATATAACAACCATAAAGGTTTGTGACCCTATAACAGAGCTTCGAAATATATGAAGGTAAAACTGGCAGATTAAAAGAAAGACAAATCTGGCTGGGTACAGTGGTTCACACGTGGAATCCCAGCACTCTGGGAGGCCTAGGTGGGTGGATCACTTGAGGTCAGGAGTTCAAGCCCAGCCTGGCCAACATGGTGAAACCCTGCTTCTACTAAAAAATACAAAAATTAGCCAGGTGTGGTGGCACATGCCTATAATCCCAGCTACCTGGGAGGCTGAAGCATGAGAATCACTTGAAGAGGAGGCAGAGGTTGCTGTGAGCCGAGGTCACCATGGTGCTCCAGCCTGGGCGACGGAGCAAGACCTTATTTCAAAAGAAAAAAAAAAAAAACATTTATACACTTCACCCAGAAATTTGACTTGTAGGAATCTATCTTATACAGAAATACTCTTAGGATTCTATCCTACAGATATTCACCATTTGCCATTTCCTAAAATAGGCAACAACCCCAAAATCCTTCTCCATAGGTCCCTAGAGGAATGGTGAAGTTACAACATATCACCTATAGTATGTGGTAATTTATTAATTAATGAATGAGGACAATCTTTATGTACCAACATAAAAAGATCTCCAAGACCCATGTTTAAGTGAAAAAAAGCAAGGAGCAGAATAACATATGGAAATAATAGTCCTACTTTTAAAATTTATTTACACATACATTAAAATTATAACTTGTTCAACCAAATAAAAGACTGGACTTCATAAAACTTAACTTTTGTGCATCAAAGTAAAATAACAAGAAAATAAAAAGACAACTACAGAATGGGAGAAAATATTTGCAAATCACATATCTGATGAGGGATTAGTATCTAAAATATATAAAGAATTCTTACAACTCAACAATAAAGAAGACAATGAAATTAAAAAACAGGCAAAAGACTGAAATACATATTTCTTTCTCTAAAGATATACAAAGGGCCAAAAACGCACATGAAAAGATGTTCAACATCACTGGCCATTACAGAAATGCAAATCAAAACTGTAATGAAATACCACTTCACACATAGTAGGATGGCTATAACGAAGAAAACCAAAAAATAACAAGTGCTGGCAATGATGCGGAGGCATAGGAAACCTGGACAATTGTTGGTAGGAATGTAAAATGTTTTAGCCATTGTGGAAAACAGTATTGCAGTTCCTCGACAAAAAAAAAGAAACACTGAATTACCATAAAACCCAGTAATTCCAATTCTAGGAATACATACAAGAGAAATGTTTGTACACAAATGTTTACAGAAGCATTATTCATAATAACTAAAAGTGGGAACAACCCAGAAACCAGAAAGAGGTGGGAGTTGTACAACATTCTGAATGCATTAAATGCACTCAATTAATCATTTTAAATAACAAATTAATGTTGTGTGGATTTAACTTCAATTTAAAAATTACAGCTTGCATTTTTATATGAATGCATTTGCATATTATGGTGTAATCAGAATTATTTTTATTCTTGAAAAAAATTACAAAGTATGTATGTAAAGCGTCAAGTCAGTAAATATCAATGATTCAATAAACAAGAGCTTTTTGTTTTTTTGGAGACGGAGTTTCACTCTCGTTGCCTAGGCTGGAGAGCACCGCAGCCTCCACCTCCCAGGTGCAAGTGATTCTCCTGCCTCAGCCTCCTGAGTTAGCTGGGATTACAAGCTTATGCTACCATGCCCGGCTAATTTTGTATTTTTAGTAGAGACAGGGTTTCTCCATGTTGGTCAGGCTGGTCTTGAACTCCCAACCTCTGGTGATCCACCCACCTCAGCCCCCAAAGTGCTGGGATTACAGACAAACAGTAGCTATTTTTAATCCCAGCACTTTGGGAGGCAGAGGCGGGCAAGCTCAGGAGTTCAAGGCCAGCCTGAGCAGCATGGTGAAATCCCACCTCCACAAAAAATACAAAAATTACCCAGGCCTGGTAGTGCGCATCTGTAGTTCCAGCTACTCGGGAGACTGAGGTGGGAGGATCACTTGAGCCCAGGAGGTCAAGGCTGCAGTGAGCCAAGATTGCACCACTGCACTCCAGCCTGGGCAAAAGAGCGAGACATTGTCAGAAAAAACAAAAACACATTACCTATTTTTCTGGCATCATTCCTTAAGAAGGCTTTGTTCCTTGCATATGATCTTGTATATAATACACAAAGTAGCTTTTGCAAATTATGTTGTCTAAAATATTATTAAAAAATGACAAATAGGATGGTTAAAACTTGTCCTAAGTTTTAAAATATTCTAGCAAAATTTGCATTTCAATTTGCAGGACTTTTCCCAAAGACTTTGGTGTCTGACCAACCAGCTTCATACTAGCTATGTGACACTGGGCAATTTACATAACCTTTCTATAAATGTCAATATTTTCACCAATTAAATAGAGGCAAGAATACTTAATTAACACGAAAGTTTAATGGAGAATGTTTATCACAGAGCCTGGCAAATATAGATAATGTAAGTTATAACCATAGAACCATACTGTTACCCAATTCAACTTAAAATTCACTAACGCATTCAATAAAAATATATTTATTACCTACTAAATGCCAAGATGCTGGAATAGTCTAGATGAAAGGCTATTTCCAGATGCTGGAACAGTCTAGATGAAAGAGTATTTCTATCATTCAGTAGTACGAAGTCAAGCTGATTTGGGGTGGCAGGGAAGAGGTAGTTAGATGTGCTGAAGGAGCATGGTTGAGAAAAAAGGAGAAAATAATCAGCTACTGAAGAATCCAGTGAGAGATTAATGTGAGCAAACTGACTGATGTAGAACATAAATTAAAAGAAAGAGAAAGGATACTCCACAAATGACTGAGTTTAGGCATTGGACTATCTATTGTTAACACCACTTAAGTAAAAGATCTTTGATGCATGTTCACAATTTTCATTTTATAAATATTTTTAAATTTATGTTTTCTATTAAAAATAATCTAAGATTAGAACTTACTGAATTCCTTGATGGTGTAAATAAGCATAACATTTTGGGTTCTGACTACCTTTTGGAATATAATTTAACACTGCTCACAGAAAATTTATAATCAGAAGTATAGGTAATTGGCATATTGACCGGAAGGGGGCATGAAAAAACTTTTTAGGGTAATGGAATCGTCCTGTATTTTGATTAGCATATTAGTTACACAGACAGACACACTTGTCAAAGCTCATTAAGCAGTACACCTGGGATCTGTGCATTTTACTGTTTAATTAAGTGCACCTTAATTAAAGAATTGAAGATACACATATGTATACACACACACAGACCATATTGATAGATACACTCTTTTTAATTTTAGGTAACTGGTCCTCAAAGGCTACTGAAAAGGCAAAAGAGATACCTACTAGATACCGTAACAATTTAAATGAGGTAATATAAGATCTAATCCACTGATTTGCTCATAACTCACCTACGGATTGTTTCATTATAGGAAAATTATATTCCTAATTGTACAAATTCATAATTCAATTTGTTCATCTATCCAAGGTAATATACAATCTTAATTCTAACTTCATTTGTCAAATTCTCTAAAACAAAGACATGTGAAACGTATCTTGTATTTAAGAATCTCAGATCTTTGTAAGATGTTTCATAGGTGGTGGCTAAATTTATAAACTTTAATTATAGATTAGCTTTACTTAATTCACTAAATCCACTAATGATTTTTTAAAATCTTTGTATCTCATTTAAATCATCTACCCTACCTCTTAACACTACTCATCCACCCACTCCCAAAAAACTTAAGCTGAAATAATAAACTTTAGTTGAGAATACAAACTAACTGGAGAAGCTAGCTAAAACCACTAACAAACTCTTAGCTATATATTAATTATATTAATTAAAATATACTAATAGGTATCATGGTAATGCTAGCAGTAATGTGTCAATATACAAAAGACAGTTAAGGAAGGATATGAAGAACAGCACAGGTGTATTTTATGGACCAGGACTATAAATGGCACTCATCACTTGTACCCTTATTTCTGTTGGCGGAACCCAGTCACAAGCTCCACTGACATGCAAGGAGACTTGGGAAATGCAGTCTCTGTCAGCTAGCCCAAACTCTAAGAAGGCAAAGGAAATATGTATTTTGGGTGGAGATCTAGCCATCTTATCACACTATAGTGGTCCAGCAGAGGTCTATCAAAATATTAATTCACAGAAGACTAACGACAAATTTACAATGAAGGTTTTGCAACTTATCTGCAAAGAAAAAGCCAGAAGATGTTTTATTGTGGAATAGTTCTAAAATTGCTTATAGATGAAAAGAACAAAAACAAATATTTAAATCAGTCACCTCTAAAATAGTGAAAGGCCAAAAATTGCATTTCAGAAATGAAATACCACTCTGGGAAAGCTTTCTGTTTTTACATGCATTCCTTTCTAAATTCTGCTGGCCAACAGTTTTACAAGTCATCTTTACTCACAGTCAGCTCATGACATACAGAGTAAATCTGAGGTTGGGGAAAGGGCAACAAACCTTCCCTTAGGCCAGAACAGAAGAAGGCATAGCAAAAATTGTCTATTTCTTATAGGACAAAAAGAAAAAAAAAAGTCTACTACCTTATTTGTCAACTCCCTGGGAGATAAAAAGGTACAGAGAGAGTGGTTCAGAACCACACTTCAAAAGTATGATTTTTGCTTGCTTTGAAAAACAAAACAAAACACAAAGTGCTGTTTTGAAATGGGGTCTCTCTCACTTATCTTTACAAAGCTCTCTCCTAAAATCAGAACTACATGCCAAAACAAGGAACACAATTTTATCTTTGAAATACTGGTACATTTTTGTTTCTGCTTAAAACGGCTCAGGGATCTGGAGGCTAATTAACCTTCCACATTGGATATTACAGCATTTTCTCAATGAATGAAAATATAGACAATATTATTCTTCTCTTTACTACTATATTCCTGAGTGAATAACTTGACTTGAGATCCCAAGAACCTTCCTATTTTAGTGTAGTTTTGAAACTACTGAAGATCTTATTATCCAAAAATGGTACTAAAAATAACCTAAGAAAGCTTTAATTATCAGCAATCCCATTTCTCTCAAGAGTGAGGTTTACATCTTTTTAATACGACAGCCTTCAGTAATGACATTTTCAACAATGTAATATCTAATAATATAGAAACAAAAATTCAAAGAACGTGTTCACGCTTTGCAAAATTCTATCTCTGCTACTCAAAAGGTACTATTATCTTCTTTGCATAGCAGATGAGAAAATAAATATGGTAAGACATATTACTGCATCTGCTTAATAGTAGTCCTTAAGACTTTGGTGTCTGTAAAAAGTAATTACCACATTATGATTAAAAACTAAATTATTTTGATTCAATGAATTTGAGCTCTTCTCTTTTGTGATACACCTTTCAAATAGTATATTAGAGCTACGCCTTCAGCAAAAAATAAAAATCATTAAAACTCAATTCAAAACTCATAGTTTGGTGGGTTTCCAAAAGCAAAGTGTGAAAACACCAGCCTCCTGTGGAGTCTTCCTTGACACCCCCAGGCAGGCTTGTTTCTCCCTCCAACCCACTTACCAGACTGGATCATGGTTCTTGGCCTCATTTCCTTTTGTGGACTCTGTAAGGCAGGTGTATTAGTCAGGGTTCTCCAGAGGGAGAGAACTAATGGCATAGAGATACACGGGGAGTTTATTAAGTGTTATCTCACACGATCACAAAGTACCACAACAGCCCGTCTGCAGGTTGAAGAGCAAGGACAGTCAGTCCGAGTTCCAAAACGGAAGAACTTGAGTCCAAGGGCAGGAAGCATCCAGCACGGGAGAAAGATGGAGGCTGGGAGGCTAGGCCAGTCTCTCTTTCCACATTTTTCTGCCTGCCTACTTTCTAGCCACGCTGGCAGCTGGTAAGATTGTGCCCACCAGATTAAGGGTGGGTCTGTCTTTCCCAGCCCACTGACTCAAATATTCATTTCTTTTGGCTCACCCTCACAGACACACCCAAGATCAATACTCTGGATCCTTCAATCCAATCAAGTTGACACTCAGTATTAACCATCGCAGTAGGTATCATATGCATTTATATTAGGCTCTTCAGTGCCAATCACAGCACCTGGCCCAGACTGACTACTTATTAAATGTCAACCAATTGAACGAATGGTTAAAAATTGAATAAAAGGCTTTTAATTAACTGTATTATTAAGCCAAAAGATGAAGGCAGTAAATGATAGAAGGGGAAAAAATAAAGAGTTCCAGAACAGAAATGAAAATGGTCACTTCTGTGCCTGACCCTAGATAGGGAAGTTATTCCTGTGCCTGTTTTATGTACTAAGTTAAAAAGCTGAACAAAATTGTCTCTAACATCATTTCCATTTCTAAAAGTATTTTTTTAAACAATGAAATGGTCATAATCCTATGTATAAATATTCATACAGAGGCCAGGCACAGTACTTCCTGCCTGTAATCCCAGCACTTTGAGAGGTCAAGGCAGGCGGACCACTTGAGCTCAGGAGTTCAAGACCAGCCTGGGCAACATGGCAAAACCCCATCTCTACCAAAAATACAAAAAATTAGACGAGCGTGGTGGTATGTGACTATGGCCCCAGCTACTTGGGAGGCTGAGGTGGGAGGATCGCTTGAGCCCCAGAGGCGGAGGTTGCAGTGAGCTGAGATCTCACTACTGCACTCCACCCTGAATGACAGAGTGAGACCCCCACTTCAAAAAAACAAAAAAAAGAAAAAAAGATTCACATAGACTAAACATCCCTTAACCAATGTTTACTGAACTCACCAGATAATCAAAGTTTTCTCTCCCCTCTGAAAAACATACCGTCTGAGCAAAGGCTCTCAAACTTGAGTGGGCCTTGGAATTAACTGAAGCATTTGTTAAAACACAGATTGCCATCCTCTCCTACTACCCAAGAGTTCACAATTCAGTATGTCTGCAGTGAGACCCCAGAATTTACAGTCCTAACAAGCTCCCAGGTGACACTAATGCTGCTGACCCAAAGACCCACTTTAGAGAACCACTATTCCACGGTACGCACCCGCTCACCTCTTTTCCTATCACCGAGCTGTCTGATTAACAAAGATCAGGTTCCCAAACCTGTATACTCCAGTTGAAATTGTTTACTGTACTTACACTAGCTAATTGTCACGTAAATGTACAAAAGGGATTCACTTTCAAGTTACCTGTTGAATTCGATGTGAAAATTCTGTGAAATATTGGGAGACAGTCATAAAAATCTTGGATTTTGTATTCAAAGTTCCTCCCAAGTATCTTTAATTTTTCAGTCCCACTAAAAGTAAAAATAGTAGGTGATGAACTGCATGGTGTTAAACACACCAAGGGCACAATGGACACGAGGAGATCTGGGAGTGATAGACATGTTCATCTTCTTGGTTGCGATGATCTTTTCTTGGATGCGTGTATGTGGGATAAAATATATTAATGTCTGCTACTTTAAAATGCAACAAAAGTTGGATGGATATTACAAAACCATGTATAATGAAATATTAACAGAATCTAAGTGGTGAGAATATGGCATTTCACTGTACCATTCTTTTAACTCTTCTGTATTTTAGAAAACTGTTAGAAGATATTCAGGAAAAATTAAGTTTATAACCTTTGACCAAAAAAAACTGCTTATAAGATAGTAGTTATTATGTGACTCCATTTTTTGCTTATGTATGTTTGTGTGTGTGTTTACAGAAGTATATGTATGTATATGGGCATATCATTATGTATGTTGCATATTCATCTGTGCCCTCTTCACCAGATCTGTCCTTCCAATTCACTTAAAAATACTCAAGTCTTTCCTATCCCCAAACAATACAAAACAAATAAAAAAGAGACCCCCACAAATTCTCATCCCTCTCTTCAGCTACTACTAGGTCACTTTCATTCCCTTTCAAAGCCATTTATTAAAGAGATAAATACACGTTCTGTGTCCATGTCTTCACCTACTCCGTTATGGTTTGTGTCTGAAAGCTCCAGCAAAATGGCTCTTGTTCAGCATACCAATGATTTCTACGTCACTAGAACAAATGGACATTTTTCAATTCTCATCCCCTGTAGAATGCAAAATATTAAATTCACCTACTTTTAAATTTGAAATGAGGGAAGGAAACTTTATTTGGTATGTAAAACAAGCTTAAAAAAAAGACTTCAATTTCATATCATGGCCAAATTAGAATATGAAAAGGGGGAAACTTAAGGGATGAAATCAAGAAAAAGGAAAAAAAAGAAGAAAAGAAGATAAAACTATAGCTCAAAGAGTAAATGTCAATGGCCTATTTTCATTACCAATTTTTACTACATTTTGAAATCTTAGCACAGTAATCATTCACATTTGTTCAACTGGCTTAGTCATATCTATAGAAGGTTTATCTATCTATAAAAGCTCTATCTTAAATGGGTCTTTCAAACCACCTATCTATGTAGAAATTATTCCCTGAGTTATAACAACAATAACCAGAGAACTAGGTCCCTAAGCATCAGACAAATCCGGCTGAGTATCAAAATTAGTACAGAAACCACTTCCTAATCTTCAGATGGGCTCCCTAAAGACTTGCACAGCACACCGACAGCATGTACTACAGCATCTCCAAGTCCTTCAATGATTACAGTGTGTCGTGACACAAAATTCTGCAGTAAAATCAGCTCCTTTAAATACACTCCTATGAACTGCAAAATAAATTTCTTTTTAACGTGGGCCTCAGAGATGAAAGACAGCCTTCAAATTTGAGACTAAAATGTGCACAAGAATTTGAATTCGAATTGTATTTAAGTTGCAGGATGGTGGTTCCGAAACAGATCACTTTTTGTATGTAGTACCCTCATGTTTGTTTTTTTTTTTTTTTTTGAGACAGAGTCTTGCTCTTTTGCCAGGCTGGAGTGCAGTGGCACAATCTTGGCTCACTACAACCTCTGCCTCCCAGGTTCAAGTGATTCTCCTGCCTTGGCCTCCCAAGTAGCTGGGATTACAGGCGTGCGCCACCACGCTGGCTAATTTTTTTATTTTTAGTAGAGATGGGGTTTCACCATGTTGGCCAGGATGGTCTCAATCTCTTGACCTTGTGATCCGCCGGCCTCAGCCTCCCACAGTGCTGGGATTATAGGCGTGAGCCACCAAACCCAGTCTCATGTTTCTTATTTTGAAGTTGAACATGCATTGGCTAATCAAAGAATTGTGGTAACAAACATTCTACCACAGGCAAAAACAGTAAAAGTGTACGTGAAAATAGTTACAGCAGGGCTTTAATTAATTAATTAATTTTCCTCTAGTACTCATCTGTAACCTTGGTCACAGATGCTGTTACTGAAATACCACGGGTTCGGTCTAAGACCTGCTACTCACCATACAGACAGCCAATCACTGAGACAACACATATTGCCAACAAAAAACGCTTTAATCAGGCTCTGTAGCCAAGGATCAGTCTCAAATCCACATCCCTGACCAAAATTAGGAGTTTTTACAGCAGGGAACAAACGTAACAATGTATGGGAAAACAGGAACTTGGGAGGGCTAAGGAAGTAATCTGATGAATGAGAGGCCTGGTGTCTCACTGTCTGGACTCTATGATCTGGTGAGTTTCAGTTCTTTGATACTGTTTGAGAGGCCTGGGGGTCCTTTCCTGAAGAAGGAACTCAGATGAAACAAATATAAGTTTAAAGCTTTAGGACCAGAAGGGTCAATTTCTATGTTTATCCAAAAACAAACAAACAAACAAAAAAACAAAACTGTCTGTGGGACTGTTGGGTCAGTTTCAATAGCAGTTTCTTGAAGGTTCCTTTCTTTATTCTTGCTGTCTATCCTCCACCTACAGGCCGGCGTGCTAAATGATTGTGGAATAAATGAAAAGCAAATTCATTTATTCCACAAACAATCATTTAGGACATCCAATGTGCAGGTCTAAACTATCCCAGACTTGAAGGAACATAGAGTAGGGTTAATGGTAATACGATTATTGAAAGACTTTATTTTAGCCTAGCTTTTCACACCAGACCTTTACACACAGTAGCATTATTTGGCTATTTTTTTTCTTTTATTTTTCCTTATTCCATCATTGGTGTCTGAAATTTGGCTATTTATAAAGGTTAAATTTAGTTTTTCACTTACCTTTGAGTTCCAATAACTAATGGACGTAATATGAAGAAGAAAATAGGTTAAACTCAATAAGAAAGGAAGCAGCATAACTTAATCACAAACTAGGCACACACTCCTGAAAATCTGAAGTGATTGTTTAGTATAAAATCTAGATTCAGGCCAGGCGCAGTGGCTCACACCTGTAATCCCAGCACTTTGGGAGGCCGAGGCAGGTGGATCACGAGGTCAGGAGATCGAGACCATCCTGACTAACACAGTGAAACCCCGCCTCTACTAAAAATACAAAAAATTAGCCGGGCGTGGTGGCGGGCACCTGTAGTCCCAGCTACTGGGGAGGCTGAGGCAGGAGAATGGTGTGAACCCAGGAGGCGGAGCTTGCAGTGAGCCCAGATCACGCCACTGCACTCCAGTCTGGGCGATAGGGCAAGACTCCGTATCCAAAAAAAAAATATAGATTCAAAACTCTGTTCTTTTTGGATCACAAACCTCTTTGAAAATCTAACGAAAGCTAAAGACCCTGTAGTAGGCAGCTTCTGACAGGACTTCCAATAATACCCACCTCTTTGTATTCCCAGTTCTGTTTAATCTCCTTCCCTTGAGTTCTGGCTGGACCTAGCAACTTGCTTCTAATGAAGAGAATATGACAAAAGTGAGAGATGTGTCTTCCGTTATTACATCACCAAAGACCATGACTTCTGTCTTACTAGTGCTATCTCTTGCCCTCCAACTTGCTCTCCTTTTTTGAAGCTACCTTGTGTGAGATGCTCCATGAAGAGACCCATGTGGCAAGGAAGCAAAGGAGGCCTCCAGCCAATAGCTCACAAGAAACTGAGGCCAAGAACCCAACAAGGAACTGAATCCTGCCAACAAACAGGTGGGCTAGGAAGTGAATCTTCCCCAGTCAACTTGAGATGACTGCAGCCCTGTGACAGGCAAAGCTGGAGGACCAGGCTAGGCAGCAGCTGGATTCCCGACCCACAGAAACTGTGAGACAATACGTGAATACTGTTTTAAGCTGTTAAATGTTGGCATAATTTGTTATACAGAAACAGATAACTACAACAAATCGCCTCTTTAGGAATGTATGTGTGTGTACAAATTCTAGTATACATTTTAGGGAATTTGGAAGTCTCTCTAAAGTTCGCAAACACAACCCCTAGTGACCCAGGGATTCCAGATTAAGAAACTTCTAACATGATAAACTTCAAACAATACGCACAAAAGGCCTATAGGAACAATTTAGCCATGCATAGCAAACATTAGAATGTTTTCCTTCCATAAAGTATTAAGAAAGTTAAATGACTTCCAATATACTGATATCTTAGTACCTGTATTATCAAAGGTGAAATCAAACCAAGTGGTACCAAAACATTATTTTTGAATACAATATTTCATAGGTACTGAAGAATGGTAAAATAACTGAGACACTGTCCTCAACTTTGAGGACTTCACTATCTAGTTGGTGAGACAAACACAAACATACACACGCACACACAAAATAGCTACCATAACAGCAGTAAAAATAGAGATTTACAGATAGTACCCGCTCATGTACACAGTAAAGTGACTTTACTGAATTTTAATTATAACATAATTAAAATAAATACCTGTACTGTTTTTCCAAGTCCCATGTCATCACCAAGAATGCACCCTCTTCCATGGATGTAATGTCCATAAAGAAACTGGGCTCCTTCTCTTTGGTAGTCTCTCAAATACCTATTGACGGTATAAGGAATAGAGTCTCCATCGTCAGATAATTTAAAAGCAACAGAAGATGATGGAAATTTTCGGTTTGGGAAATAAGGTTTTTCCAAATCTTCATCATCAAATATAAGATTCCTAGGGCAATCTTTAACAAATTTTACTTCTTGAAGCTGTTTAAGAGGTATTTTCCTTTCTTGAAAATCTGAATATAAGACAACTGCAAATGACTTGCCATTTTCATCCACTGTGACAGATTTTATGCTTGCTTCACGAAGTTTTCCATTATCTGGAGAAGGGGCAAGACATCTTTCTCCTGGATGCCATATGTCTGCAATAATAAAGAAAATAAAGTTTCCAAAGCTAGCTTATAAAGTAACACCTCATTTATCCACAGCTATGAGAAAAAATACATACCTCACATAAATGCCTTTTCCAAAAAACTGGAACAAGATAAATTATAACATGTATAGATATTTTTCTAAAATATATTTTCAGATATTCTCCTATAATAAACAGAATAAAGGGTACATACTTTATTTCCAGTGGCTCCTATCCTGGCTGTGTGTCATCATCTTCCCTGGAGTTTAAAAATGTACATTCTTAGACACCACCTCTGGTGATTCTTACTCAGTAGATAGGGGTCATGGGTATCTGGTTTTATTGTTTTGTTTGGTTGTTATTGTTGAATTCAAAAGATAATTCTGACGCACAGCCAGGGTTGAGAACCACCAACTAAAATATTCTTGCTGACTCATGAACATATATATACATATATTTCATGATATGGTAGAGTAATCGTGAATAGGACTTGGTAATGAGTAAACTAAAATCCTCTGGGCAGCAATGCTTTGTGGTTCATCTGTCCGCTTTTTTATAGTTATTCCATTGCCTTTCTCTAGAAACAGCTGTTTCTTTTCACTGCAATACTGCTGCTTCTAAACCTTTACTTTAACCACTGCTTGTATACAGCTAACCACAGGAACCTCCAATTCAACTACAGTGATGTCACAGCTTTTTCTCTTCTGGGTTTTGAATAATTATTTGAAGAGATGAATTCTAAGATCTCTTTTTGCTAAGAGTATTACCTCTCTCTCTATGAACTTATTCTGAGATTAACTGTACAGCTATCTATTTTATTTTCTCAGAAAATATACCACTATGAATGAGGAGGAGGTCTATAGAGTATACTACCGATACAATTAAAAAGTATCAAAAAAAAACTAAGTAAAAATAATTTTCCAAATGGAATCTTATGGCAAGAATCCAAAAATAATTCTATGGCCACAAATATAAGAATACTAGGAATTATTTTTCTTAAACATTTCTCACTGAGATCAGATAACCACTGGCAGTTTCCTAGGGTCTTCCTGATGACCTCGAGTTAGATTTTTGTAACACTCAAGATTACAACATGACATGTTTATACTATCTAAAGCAAGAATAGTTCATTATGTTCCTCATCCATCAGCTGTTCTTCAAAAGTAAAGCCACTAACTTTGATGAGGTTATTTTACCATAACAATAATGAGTACACAGGGAAAAACGTTCTCTCCCACTCTAATCTCTGGACCCAAACTGTTGACAACTGTTACACCATTCTAAAAGAGTGTTTTAATGTCAAACTAAAGCCTTGATCCACTGTACAAGTAAAACAACATATAGGTCAATGGGCCCTATTTTCATAACAGTACTATTTGCACCTTAAAACCTAAAGCAACCCTTATACAATTATTAACCCATTACTTACTTTTCCCATTATGTGTTTGCCTCCCCTATCATTTTTTAAGACTCATTTTATTATCGATTATTCAACACACGTGATTTAAGCACAAATTATTCACCAAATATTATACCACATAATGGGTATAAAATGAAGAAAACTAATGTCAAAAATGATGGTGACTAATAGTTTTCCTGCATCTCATTAATTGGCATCATCATCTAACCAACTTTTCAAAGTAGAAAACCATTAGTTAGCCCTTAAACCTCATTTAATATTACTCCTTACATCCAGTCTGTCAGAATGGCCTGGTTTTACTTCAAAAATGAATGACTCTCCTCCATGCCACCATCTCACTAAAGCAAAGGCTGGCAAACATTTTCTGTAGAGTCAGTCATTAGCTATTCGTTACTTTAGATTTTGTAGGCCATACATTCTCTTGCCCTTGTAATGCAAAAGCAACCAGACAATACATAAACAAATGGGCAGAGCTGTATTCCAATAAAACTTTATTTACAAAAAGAAATGTCAGACCAGTCTTAGCTCACAGACAGTAGTTTGCTGACCTCTGTCTTAAAGCATGCCACCATCAACTCTCCCTAAATTAAGCCTAACCAGGCTCTCTGCTCCCAGTCCACCTATTTAGAGTAGGGTACCCCATTATTCTATATCTCATCATTTTATTGCCTCTGTAGCACTTACCATAACATTTAATTATCATGTCCACTTGTTTTTGTCTTTTTCTTCCACTAGAGAGTAATTTCCTTCCCAAGAAAAAGTTTGTACTGTTATAAATTTTATCCCCAGGACCAACACAGAGTCACACAGCAGACATTCAATGAACATGTGAATTTATTACACATTCTTTTTCTTTTTTTTTTTTTAGACAAGAGTCTCTCTGTCGCCCAGTCCGGAGTGTCATGGCACAATCATAGTTCACTGTAAACTCCAACTCCTGAGCTCAGCCATCCTCCCGCCTCAGCCTCCTGATTAGCTGGGACTACAGGTGTGCACCAACATGCCTGGCTAAAATTTTTATTTTTAGTACAGACAGGGTCTCGTTTACTTTGCAGGCTGGACTTAAAACTATCCTCCAGCCTCAGCTTCCCCAAAGTACTGGGATTACAGGTGTGAGCCACTGCGCCTGGCCTATTACAAATTATCGATCTCATAGATCCTTGGTATCTTGCGAGAGAGAAAACTAAAAAGTACATAAACATATACATAACTGTAAAAAGTGCATTGGAAGAAAAATGCTATGAGAAGGGAGTATTGAGAAATGTAATTTAAAAGGGAAAGGGGTCTAAGAACTGTATTTCAGATAAGTGTACAGCAAGCGCAAAAAAAAAACAAAACCTTAAGGGAATCACACAACTTATTGGAGTATTTTTGGTTTCTGAGTTTGGGTAATTTCTAGAATGAAAAAAATTCAGCTAAGTTTGAGTTAGAAATGGAATCTCTCAATATCCAAACTACAGAACAACTGCTTAAATTGTGAGGATTTCCTGTTGGATTTAACAGGGTTAAGTCTCCTATAATTTAATGAGTCGAAATCATTTGTTTTGGTTTAAACTAATTATCAATTCAATTCATTCTGGTGATGGGGTCTCTCTCTCCCTCTTTCACTCCAATGGCCTCCTCGCTATTCCTCAAGCATGTTCCTACCTCGGGGCCCTGGAGCTTTCTGCTCCTTCCACCAATAAATACCAGAGTGACTAGATCTATCAGAAGGAATGAACGTCCCAGTCACCATAATCTCCACTTGGCAGCTTCATCTATTTATTTTTAGCTGCCAGTCTCCTATAGGTATTTATATGTGTGGCCCCTGAATTACAGCATCATCAATTCCTAGACCTCAGAATTCAGGCTTGTAACTTGCCCTCTCTGAGCTTTAGCTCTGAATTCATCTAGTTAATGAGATTGATATCTTCCTCAAAAGAAAGCAAGTAGTTAAACAATCAGCATATTGGTGGGCTCAGGAAAATCACTCAATACCCGGTAGCTTTTGTTATACAGCACAATTATTAATGAAAGCTATTCATTTGGGTGCCAGAAGGCATCCCAGATGACTTGCGGTAGATTATCACACCTTCTTTAAACCTCCTATTTAAGGCAGAATATAATGCCCTGACTCAATAGGCAATAAACCTCCACTGAACTAAATATCTCAACCTTCATTTACCTACTTACAACAAACGTCTGCCATTCACTAACAACTGGGCATACAACGATAAAGAATGAAAATGACGTTTACTGAGTGCTTAATATGGGCCAGACGCGGGGTCACATAAATGCTTTGCGTATTGTCCACGTCATTTAAAAATCACAAGAACCTAGTAATGAACCCAGTTTTACAAATGAGGAACCTGCCCAAAGTTGCTCAGCAAGTAACTGTCAGAGGCAGCACTAGATCCCAGGGGCTGACCCCCGAGTCCAGGTTCTCAACACTGAATCGGAGATTTGGTCCCAGGCCTGCAGGGGGTTCACAATCTGCAGCTGTCACTGAAGACGATCTACAGGGCAAACCCCAACCCGAAGGGCACCGGCGAGAACTGGTCCAACGCGACGCAGCAGACAGGCCTCTGGGTAAGGGGCGAGCGCGGAGCTGGTACCTTTGCCCGCGGTTTCCGCGCAGGGCTGTGGCGCCGAGGGATCCATCCGGCCAGGGGGAGGGGCCGAGCCCGGCTGCACGTAACACCCGGAAGGCGGAGGACAGCGAGGTGGCTGGCCGGTGGGCCAATGGCGGCCAACGCCACTTCCGGTCGCCCTCCGAGCATCGCTCTCCGGCAACCCGAAGCCACGGGAAGGAGGAGGGGGATCCCAGCTAAGGCAGCGACTAAGGGAACCCGAGCAGAACGGGAGGGCGACGTCCGGAGCGGCGGCAGAGCCACGGGACGCTGTGTGAGGCTGGCAAGGCGGTGTTCACCTAGTTCTTTCGGGCTCCGCCGCCGCCGGTGGAGAACACGAGGCCAGCATTGCGACCCCCAAATCTCCTCCTCAGGATCTGACCTCAGTCTCCTAACCCCGCAACTTCCATCCCGGCCTTGGAAAATCCCGCGAGAACGGGCTGCCGAATTGTCACTGGGATCTCGCGAGAACGAAATCTTCCTTTCCGTGGGCGGAGCCATCTTCCCGATGTCTCGCCCCTAGGAGGCCTGTAGCAGGAAGGGCCGCGGGAGTTGCGAGTGTCGCGAGGTTTGAGGTCGCTGGGTGGGCCGGGCGCTGAGCGACGCTGGTCATAACTGGGGGGCTTGGGAAGGCAGTGGCTGTGAAGGGCCACTGAGGCGGTGGAGGCCTGGCAGAGGGCGTCCCGGCGGTCGCGGCTCTCGGCTTCTCGGTGGAGCTTGGTTCGTCCGTGGTGGTGCCGCACCCCAGGAACTTCCAGGAGCCAGTCCCTCCTTGGAGAGCTCCCCGGGACACCCACAGGTGCCAAGTGAAACTAGCGCGTTTTCTTGGATCCTACACTTTGTAGTGAATCATAAATACTTTAAATACAAAGCCAACAACATTTGCTGGGAATAAACGTAAAAATACTGTTAAAGTGTAAAGTTTTCCTTCGTCCCTCTGACGTTTCTGGCGGGTCGCTGAACGCGGGAGACTCAGCCGTCTGCTCTGAGCCCGGAGCATCTGAGGCAGCCGCGCCCACCCGCGAGGTGCAGGAGGTACACGGCCCCTGACGCTCCCAGGCAGCGCAGACAGAGGGATCCGTAAGTGGCTTCCGCGCTTGTTACCATTTGCATACTCTAAGGTATTTCATGGATTGAGTGAAATACCTGACGGGGCCTGTATCCGTTCCCTATTGCCGCAATAACCAGTGACCACAAACTTTGTAGCTTGAAACAGCACAAATATATCATCTTGCATTTATTGTCTCGCGGTTCTGTAGGTCAGAAGTACTACTGGGTGTAACCTTAGCTGCACTCCTTTCTGGAGACTCCACAGGACCATCCTTAGCTTGCCTTCGCCAGCTTCTGTCAACATTCGTTGCCTTTGGCCCCTTCCTGCATCTTCAAAGCCAGTGACGTGCCATCTCCGACCCTTCCATCCTCAAGTCTACCGCTGATAGCAGCTGGAAAAGATTCTGAGGGCTCACCTGAGCAATCCAGGATCATCTTCCCATTTCCAGGCCTCTGCCCTTGATCACATCAGCGGAATCCTTTTGCCATGTAAGCTAATATATTCACGAATTCCAGAGATTAGGAAATAAACATCTTTGGGGGATCATTATTCTGCCTACAGTAGTGTCTTAAGAAAACAATATGGCTGTTTGCTCTGCAAATAGATCTCAATTCTTTGGCAGATACTAAAAACCAGTAGTATGTGTTCATAAAATGCTTCATTTAAAATATAACTTGTTTGCTTACCACCAGGTAGTAACTTTAAGCCTAAGTGAAACATCTAACTCAGCCATCTCTGTGTGAGATGTTGGCCAGGTCACTTCTCTGTGTTTTATTGTCCTCACCGATCACTGTAACAGTGAGACTAATAATAGTAAACTACCTAAAAAGGGTAATTGTAAAAAATAAGATGAGTAAAACTCCTAAAACAGTGACTGGTCATAGTAAGGAATATATGTGTTGTTATTACTGTTATTATCAATGGAATGCATCCACTCGAAAGTTGCATTCTACATAGACATTATGTCAGTTTAATATTTTGGCTAATAGGCCGGGCGCGGTGGCTCATGCCTGTAATCCCAGCACTCTGGGAGGCCGAGGTGAGCAGATCACGAGGTCAAGAGATGGAGACCATCCTGGCCAACATGGTGAAACCCCGTCTCTACTAAAAATACAAGAATTAGCTGGGCATGTGATGGCACATGCCTGTAGTCCCAGCTACTTGGGAGGCTGAGGCAGCAGAATCGCTTGAACCTGGGAGGCGGAGGTTGCAGTGAGCCAAGTTTGCATCACTGCACTCCAATCTGGCGACACAGCAAAAAACACTACTGATTATAATTGTAATTCTTGATTCTAACATACACCTTGATATTGGAAATCTTAAAATCTAGAAAAATCTGCTTCTTGTTACTGATGGATTGTATCTCTTTTCACATTGTCTCTAAAATCAAAATGCAAATTGACATTTTAATCAAGCTTATTTTTTTCCCCTACAACTACCAGGGAAGAAGTTTGATTTTTTTTCCCTCTCTGAAATGACTAGTTGTGTAATTTTGTCTTATTTTTCCAGAGGTCCATTGAGTTAAGATGTAGCTCTTGACAGAGCTGACCTCTAATTAGAAGGGATAAGCAAATTCAGAAATAAATTTTGGTTTAAATGGAAGGTATCATCTGGTTGAAGGAATACCCTTGTGACTAACAAAAGAGGAGGATACCTCATTTTCTGAGTGTTTATTATTTAACCTCACTGCTGTACTTACAATGTATACTGAAGCAGAAATAATCATGACATGAAAATATGTCCTAGTGAACTAGTTGCTTCATAAAACTAGATATCCTCAAATATTCCTTCCCCCACCTAACAGTAGCTTTTGTCTCTGCATTGACATCCTTGTGTAGGTGCTGATATTGTGACATCTACCACTGTCAGTCCAGTCACTTCAAAGTTAAATTGAATATCTTGTAAAATATTACGGAATTCCTGTAGTTAATATGTGTGATGTTAGATAAATCACATAAATGAACTGAATCACATACAAAACTTTTGGCAAAGGAGGATCTAGCAAAAATTAAGCCAATTATAACTACAGAAGAGAAAAAAATAACACAGATGGTGATAACACAGCCATTTCAAAAGAGGCTCATGGAAGGAAGGTTAAACCCACCAGTAATTTGCCAAAAAATAGTCTCTCTTTATCTTCATACTACAAGAGTCAAATACATATCTGTATGTGATTGACAGATCTCCAGAATTGTGAGTTAATGTAGCAAAAAGGCTCCAGGAAAAATAGATGTGAAACTCTTAAGACAACACGAGAAATTAAGTCTTTGAGTTTCAGTTAGATGATTTTAGGTTGCAGCATTTCTCCATTCATACATTGTTCCAGCCAATGGAAAAAAAAAGAAGAAGGAAGCAAAGATGAGTGAAGGCAAGAGAAAGAAGATAAAATAGATCTGTCCTTCCTTGCCACAAATAACCTAAATCTTAAAGTTTAAAACTCAACGTTGCACAACAATGTGAACATACTTAACACTATTGAACCATACACTTAAAAATGGTTAAGAAGGTACATTTTATATAATGTGTTCTTTCTTACCACAATTATAAAGCAAAACACAGCAAAAAAGCTCCAGCCAAAGAAAGAAGAATTTGAGGCTTGAACGAGGTATAGTGAAAGATATATAGAATAAGTGTTAGAATATTCAGCAACACCATTTTTACTTCATAGACTCAATAGACTCAAATAATAGAACATTTAATACCTCATGTCAGATAAGTATAAAAATCCTGCAACAAAACACCAAGAACTACTGGTTGAAATATGTTTATAAAAACTCTCAAGATGTAAAAGCCAATGCTTATACACTGTTGATGGGAATGTAAATTAGTACAACCTCTATGGAAAACAGTATGGAGATTTCTCAAAGAACTAAAAATAGAATTACCATTTGATGCAGGAATCCCACTACTGAGTATCTATCCAAAGGAAAGTAAATCATTATATTGAAAAGACACCCACACTTGTATGTTATCACAGTGAAGTTCACAATAACAACATCATGGAATCGATCTAAGTGTCTATCAAGAGACGACTGGATAAAGAAAATGTAGTATATAAACACCATGGAATATAATGCGGCCATAAAAAAAAAGAATTAAACCATGTCTTTTGCAGCCACATGGATGGAGCTGGGTGCCATTATTCTAAGCGAAATGACTCAGAAACAGAAAATCAAATACCACGTGTTCTCACTTAAAAATGGGAACTAACTAATAGGTACATATGGACATGCAGAAGGAAATAATAGACACAGAGGACTCCAAAAGTGGGTAGGATGGGAGAGAGGTGAGGGTTGAAAAATTATCTATTGGGAACAGTGTTCACTTTTTGAGTGATGGGTACAGTGGAAGCGCAAACCTTACCATTATGCAATATATCCATGTAACAAACCTGTATTGTACCCTCTGAATCTATAAACATTTAAAAAATAAAAAATAAATCTCAAAATACATAGCTGAGCTTTCAAGAAGTATGTGAAATACTCATAGACCAAAAATAAGGAAGGAACTGAAAACTAGTTTATTAAGATGGCACTTATACCACTCCTTTCCTGGACACATTTGTCTGGCTCAGTTACAAAAAGGTCTGGATTTTAACAGGCTTCTGGGAGCAGAAGACATAGTCTTAAGCTCCCACAACGTCCCACCTTGAAACGGAGCCTCTCATTTGAAATCAGAAAGCTTGCAAGGTGAGCTAGAAGAAAAAAGTCTGGACAGCAGAAAAGGAGGAGGATGAAGAAGGATTTGTCTGTCTTGGCATGGGACTTTTGAAGGGGTATTGTTAATTCCATCTGAAATGTTGAAACCACAGCTATGCCCTCAAATTTAGGATTTGAATGTATACAATCTGCATTACCTAGGAAACCCCAAGCCAAGATAGTAGCGTAATGTAGTGCCCGGTTAATTGCATCTAGGTTGCTAGAAAGAAGCACACACATCCTTTCTAGAGGGAAACGTTAAAACAAGGACTCCTCGGAATTTCTGGAGATAAAGTCTCATCTAACAATTCACAACCCTAAAGCTGCAAAACATACACAGAAACAAGCCATCATGAACAAGGGCCAGGAGAGAAAACAAACAACAGAAATAGAGCCCTAGAAATTTTAGCTAATCGAAGTAATCGATAGAAAGGGGTTTATAAAGTGTGGTTAAAATACATGTTGATATTTTTAAAAACTGAACTGAAAACTTAGGAAACAAGGCATTGTTAAAACAGATTTTTTAAAAAGAACCAGAACTTCTTAAAATAAAATTGATTATTGAGATGGAAAACTCAATGGTAACTTAAAGAGCAAATTCAACATACCCTACTAGAGAATTTGTGAACTGAAAGATCTAAATAAACAATCCAAAATGCAGGACAAAAAGGCCAAGTAGAAAACATAAGAGAAAAGTCTAAAGAAATGGAGACTAGGAGGCAAAAAATGAAAGAGTTGGGGTAGCTCAAAATATTAATATTATACAAAACAAGCTTTAATGCAAAAAGCTTTAGGGACAAATAAATTAACTACATAAATGATAAATGGCTTTTTTTTCTTTTTGGATATGGAGTCTTGCTCTGTTGCCCAGGCTGGAGTGCAGTGGTGCAGTCTCAGCTTACTGCACCCTCCCCTGCCTCAGCCTCCCGAGTAGCTGGTACTACAGGCGCACGCTGCCACGCCCAGCTAATTTTTTTGTATTTTTAGTAGAGATGGGGTTTCACCATTTTGCCCAGGCTGGTCTCAAACTCCTAAGCTTAGGCAATCCACCCGCCTTGGCCTCCCAAAGTGCTAGGATTATAGGCATGAGCCACCATGCCCAACCTCTTTTTTTTTTTTTTTTAAACCAAGGAGGTAAAAATGTTCTCCACCTAGAAATCAGTATTGAAGAATATTTTTAAGGATGATATATTCTGAAATGTAAAAACACATTTCTAAATAACTTACGAGCCAGAGAAAAAATCATGATTGCCAAGACCAGCTCGGCTGGGGAGACCCTAACCCAGCAGCACTAGAGAAATTAAAGACACACACACAGAAATATAGAGGTGTGAAGTGGGAAATCGGGTCTCACAGCCTGCAGAGCTGAGAACCTCGAACAGAGATTTACCCACGTGTTTATTAACAGCAAGCCAGTCATTAGCTTGCTGTAGATATTATAACTAAGATAACTTAGTTTCTGTAGATATTAAATTAACTGAAAGTATCCCTTATGGGAAATAAAGGGATGGGCCGAATTAAAGGAATAGGTTGGGCTAGTTAACTGCAGCAGGAGCATGTCCTTCAGGCACAGATTGCTCATGCTATTGTTTGTGGCTTAAGAACGCCTTTAAGCAGCTTTCTGCCCTGGGCAGGCCAGGTGTTCCTTGCCCTCATTCCGGTAAACCCACAACCTTCAGTGTGGGCGTTATGGCCATCATGAACATGTCACAGTGCTGCAGAGATTTTGTTTATGGCCAGTTATGGGGCCAGTTTATAGCCAGATTTTGGGGGGCCTGTTCCCAACAATGATGAAGACTAGAAAGTAAATATGCAACAGACCCCAAAAATGGAATGTGTTTAGACAGACGGTTTCAGCTGGTCCTAAGATGACAAAGCCCACATTTTCTTATAAGGTAATATTCCATGTAAGATTACCAAAGGAAGTCATTAACACAGATTTTACTATCCTAATTCCTCGCCTACATGTAGAATATAAAAGGATTGGCAATGGGAGATTAGAGGAAGAGAAGATGTTTTTGACACAGCTATTGCAGTGGCATGTCTCTCCTCCAGATAAACAAAAGGGGCTTCAGAGGGATCACCTGGAAATTTTGGTATGCATTCCCTAGAATTTGTGGGATATGGTGAACTATTTGACTCAAACTTTAGATATCTGAAGGGGAGGTACTATGGATGGCTAACTGCTCTGAAATGTAATAGGAAAGATTCACACTTTTGGGGCCACTTCACTCCCAGAGTTTACTGTTAGGAAAGGATGCACATTTCCTCTGGTGTAAATGTAGGTCATAGGTAAGTGAAAGCCAGCGGAACTATCAAGATGACCCCAGGAGGAGATCTGAACAGCCGGATGTCTAACGGAAAGTAGTGACTTTGAAGAACACAGAAAAGCACCCAAGAGAGAAAGACACCCAAGGAGAACCTCTGCAATCTCACGGCAGTGCTGGTTAAATAAGACCTTTCCTGTTCCCTTTTTTTTTTTTTTAGACAGAGTCTGCTCTGTCACCCAGGCTGGAGTGCAGTGGTGCCATCTCTGCTCACTGCAACCTCCACCTTCCAGGTTCGAGCAGTTCTCCTGCTTCAGCTTACGAGCGTCTGGGACCACAGGCGAGCGCCACCACATCTGGCTAAGTTTTGTATTTTTAGTGGAGACGGGGTTTCACCATGTTGGCCAGGCTGGTCTCAAACTCCTGACCTCAAGTAATCCGCCCGCCTTGGCCTCCCAAAGTGCTGGGATTACAGGAGTGAGCCACCTCGCCTGGCCCTCGTTCCTTATTTTTATCTCTTTTTCCAAATCAACCCTAAAGAAGTTGGAAGCAGCTTAGAAAGTAGGAGAGGAAGGTGAGGCATAAATCATATAAAAGAAGCAATCACCCCCACATTTTCCCCTGCCAACCACTTGCCTGTACCAAGTGTGAGCTCTGAAAGGAGAAGTCTTTAGGGTTGAACAAGTGTTGAAGTCTTAATTTTTTTTTCATTACGTGGACTTTACCAAACTAACTTTTTGTTTGTCTCTTTTTAGTGGCTAGAAGTGACCCCAGGATTTTTTTTATTATCAAGAGAGACTAGAAGAATCATGAGACTTTTCCTAGTCGCCTTTCAAGAATATGAAGAAAAAAATGGTTCTCAAAGTGGGTTTGAATGAGTATTGTTCAAATAAATGAACTTATATTCATATTTCATCCCCAGAGTCCTGCTGTTTCAACATCCATTAGAACTGAGTAATAATACTACATATCAAAGTTTGTGGGACATTGCTAAAGTGTAAAAAATGCTTATATTGAAAAAGAAGAAAAGCTGAAAATTAATTGTCTGTGCTTCCAACTTTAAAAAAGGACAACAAACTAATCCTAAAGAAACTAGAATAAAAGGAAAAAATAAAAAACAGAAGTTAAAGAGTAATTAAAAAAACACAATAGAGATGATCAACAAAGCCAAAAGTTGATTCTTTGAAAAAGATTAATGAAGTAGGCAAACCACTGGTGAAATGAATCAAGAAAAGTAGAGAAAAAACTCAAACATTAGGAATGAAAAATAGGGCAATGTTAAAGAGAATTCAAATATTAGAAAAATATGGGAGTATAATAAAAATGATTTCATGCCAAAGTGTTTAAATGTACACTGCCTTAAAAATATATATTAAAAAGGGGCCAGACACTGTGGCTCACACCTGTAATCCCAGCACTTTGGGAGGCTGAGGTGGACGGATCACAAGGTCAAGAGATCAAGACCATCCTGGCTAACACGGTGAAACCCTGTCTCTACTAAAAATACAAAACATTAGCTGGGCATGGTGGCACGTGCCTGTAGTCTCAGCTACTCAGGAGGCTGAGGCAGGAGAATCGCTTGAACCCGCAAGGAAGAGGTTGCAGTGAGCCAAGATGGTGCCACTGGACTCCAGCCTGGGTGACAGAGCGAGACTCCGCCAAAAAAAAAAAAAAAAAAAAAAAAACTAAAAGGAAAAGAAGCACTGAAGAAATCTATAACCATTGGAGAAGCTTGAGTCAGTAGTTGATAATGTCCCTCTGAGAAAAGACCAGACATAAGTGACTTACAGGAAAGTTCTGCCAAATGTCAAAGAGAATAGATAAATATCACATAAACTCTTCCGGAGAATACAAGAAAAGGAACACTCCCCCCAACTTATTTTATAAACTTGGTTAAATCTTGATAGCAAAATTTAATAAGGACACCATGACACATGAAATCATAAGCAAATTTTACTTACAGTTATACACAAAAATTCTAAACAAAATACTGGACAACTGAATCTAATTTTGAATAATACTAGCAAGAATAATAATAATAATAATAATGCATCATGACCAAGTTGGGTTTATCTCAGGAATGCAAATATAGTTTAAAAGTGGAAAATCTAGTAGTGACGTTTACCACTCTAAGAAATAAAGAAGAAAAATTATGTCATCTCAATGAACCAAAAAATTTTCTAAAATCCAACCAAATATTGGCAAAAAAGCAATAAAGGGCTGGACGTGGTGGCTCACGCCTGTAATCCCAGCACTTTGGGAGGCCGAGGCGGGCGGATCACGAGGTTAGGAGACCAAGACCATCCTGGCTAATACGGTGAAACCCCATCTCTACTAAAAATACAAAAAATTAGCCGGACGTGGTGGCGGGCGCCTGTAGTCCCAGCTACTCGGGAGGCTGAGGCAGGAGAATGGCGTGAACCCGGGAGGCGGAGCTTGCAGTGAGCTGAGATCGCGCCACTGCACTCCAGCCTGGGTGACAGTGAGATTGCGTCTCAAAAAAATAAATAAATAAATAAAAAGCAATAAAGGAAAATTCCTTAACTTATTAAGTTAAGGAATAAAGACACTCTTTATTAAAGAATATCTATTCGAAACCTGCAACAAGCATGATAGTTAACGATGAAATGTTAGATGAAATGTTAGAAATGATGAAATGTTAATGACAATAGATTAAAACCATAAACACAATGATGTCTGTTATCACTACTTCTACTCATCATTGATCTTAACCATTTCAATAATAAAAGATACTATATGTAAATTATAGATATTGAGAAGGAAGACTCAAAACCGCTACTATTCACAAACAATATTATTATTCACACAAAAAGCAAGAGAATATGCAAATAAATCTTTAGAATAAGAGAATTCAACATAGTTTGAGGATACAAGTGCAATTTATAAAAATCAACTATTTCTGTAGCTACACAAGTTAGAAAGGTATAATTTTTTAAATGTATTTTTACAGTAGCAACCAATAATATGTAAGAATAGCTAATAATTATCTAAAAATGTGTGCAAGTTGCTTATAGAGACAATAATAAAACCATATTGTAAACTTACATGGAAGGAGAGATATACCATATTCATGGTATAAAAAAATAATAAAGATGTCAGTTTTTCCAAAGTCATTCATAGTGCAATTCCTTGCCAAATTACTGGCAGGTTTTTTTCCCCTGGACTTTGACACAAGGATTGTAAAATTTATATGCAAGTGTGAAGTGCCAAGAATGATCAAGGCAATTTTGATAAAACATCAAAAAGGAAAAGAGGAAAAAATGGTGATGGAACTTTTTTTTCACAGAGGAGGGAAATAGGGTTGAACTTCTTATCCTATACACAAAGTTAAATTCAAAGTAAATTAAAAGCAAAATGTAAAATGCAAAACTTTTAGAAAACTTTAAAATTAGAAAAAATGTAAAAACCAATCCAACAAGTTATTTTTACACATTCAAATTTTCCAGTCATCCCCGCACAGCTGTCAAGTATCAAATGAGTGGTAAAGTACTAGAATGATAAAAGAAGTGGTATAGTTATGCCACTTGTAGGACTACTTATAAAGCAGCTGCCTTCCTAGACATGCTTTTATCCTAACTCTTTAAATGAATAGGATTGTATTATATTGTTTACATGTCAAAATTTGCATGTCAATGATGCATATATGGTTATGTTCAGAGCATTCCTTTTGGCATTCTTTTGTTTTTTAATGTCAGATTTTAATTTAATGACAAATGCAAAAAATATAAACATGAAACATTTATGAGATTTGTGTTATATGTGATTAACTTATTATAAAAATAATCAGCATAAAACACTAGCATGTCCGTATAAGAACATGCTACTCATCTTTGTTAGCTTTAAATAAACAAAGGTAGGATGTTTAAAATGTAAACGTAAATCAATAGATTAACATTGCTTTAATAAATACAACAAATGCAGACTTAATTACAATAAAATTTAAAATGCTAAAACTAATTCTTGAAAGTTAAATTACGAATTGAATAAGATTTCACATAAAATATTGACAAATAATACTTGGACTTAATCCTTATTATCCTTCCCTCATACATATCCAAAAGTGGTGTAGCATAGAGAGCTGGCTGATACAAGTTCCACAGAAAGACTTTTTCCCATCTAGAAAAATACAAAAATGTATTTTTCCAACGAATAAGCTCCAAAAATCAATTACATATTCATAATAGAATCTTACCTCCTCCACCCCGTAAAGATTCTAAAGTAATATGAATTATATTTGAAGGACATCAAGATAATCCTCCCCCAAAATGTAGATTTATAATGTTGTGTAAATCTGCATGGAAGCATTACATATTTGAATCATATGTAAAATCATAGGGTGAAAAATTTTTTCTATTCTTACCATGGACTTCCCTAGTGGTCTTCAGATTACATGACCTATAGGATCCATTTCAAGTCTAAAATTCTATGTGATTTCTGCTGAAGATCACTTTTCTCTCTGTTATTTTAGAATGCATCACCTCATCTTTGGCAACTTTCCTTGAATTGAATTCTGATTGCTTAAATTCTTCAAGCAAGGCAGACTTTTTCCAAAGAGAAGCTATATAGACATGGTTTAAATTTTTTAAGTTCAAATTTTATCTATATACTTTGTAAAGATTATTACCAAAGTTTTACTTTTCAAAAATGTTCCCAAAGTAATTGACAGCTTAGGTACCACGAAACAAGGGTAAAGAGAATTCTATGGCCATTACAAGATATGCAGACTTGAATAGTTGATTCTGAATGCAAATATAATATTATACTTCATTTATAAGGATCATTTTTATCACATTGCCCTAAATTAGAATGCAATGGCATGATCTGGGAATTGACAGTGTTTGGTTAAAAAGAAATTAACTTGAGGAATTAAGGGAAACATAAAAAGCATGTAAAAGGTAAGTGAGTTTATTTTTAAACTGGATACTATTTTTTTTTTAATATAAAGCAACTCTTTCAGGGGAACTGCTCCCTCCAATTTATGCATAGATGATTTGACAGACTGGTTGAAATATCCCACACCACTTTTGCACAGTGGAAATGCAAAACCCAAAGAATTCATATTTTCAAGATTGTTAACACCTTCTCAAATTTCTATAATTCATTCAATTTCTGTAGAAAAACATGAACTTTATTTTTCTTACTATTAATTATTTATATAGCTCAGTTTCACAAATAGGTTCTCAATATCTAAACGCCTGCAATAATTTCACTGTTGAAACCATTTTCTTAAATTTTTTATATATTTCCTAGTGTTGTCACAATAAGGCCTCGTATGACTGTGAATTGTCCTTGGGCTTTTTATATTCACAACCAGAAGAGGATCTCTTTTCTTTTTCTATCAACCTTTTTAATACTTTTTTTTTTTTTTTTTTTGAGATGGAGTCTTGCTCTGTCTGAAGTGCAATTGCACGGGCGCGATCTTGGCTCATTGCAGCTTCCACCTCCTGGGTTCAAGCGATTCTCCTGCCTCAGCCTCCCGAGTAGCTGGGACTACAGGTGCCCGCCAGCACGCCCAGCTAATTTTTTGTTATTTTTAGTAGAGACGGGGTTTCACCGTGTTAGCCAGGATGGTCTCGATCTCTGACCTCTTGATCCACCCGCGTCGGCCTCCCAAAGTGCTGGGATTACAGGCGTGAGCCACCACACTGGCCCTATTACTTTTCTTAAAGAAAGATTATGTCAGTTCCTAAGTCTGTGGCACCCTGAAAATTTACATGCCTGTTAAAGGTGGACATTTGTACTGTATTTTTAGATGATAGTTAAGAAAAGTAGATGATGGGGGGAGTTCACACATGGTTGAATATCATTAGAAAATAATAAATCCACTAAGCAAAATAAGCCTAAGACCATAACAAAGATGAATTAAATGAAGAAAGTCCCCATTCTGTCTTCCA